TACACATCGACAGGTTGATGGAAGATTGCACATGATGTTTCTCACGATGGTCTTCATATTCCCTTATATCAGGGATGCTGACAATGCTTCAAAGCACTTCACTGATGCAATCTTCTTTTCCCATTCACCCATTCTCATAAGTACTCAATCATGGGCTTCACTAGATGGGGGCACGGCACCTCCCCCACCATTCAGCAGTCAGATTCTTGAAGCTCTGTGGATTGACTCTTGACCACATGTGCATGCTTTTATCTATTTTTTTTTTATTGTCAGGATTTCATTTCTCAACTTTTAACCCTATCTTAACCAGTAGGGAAGGGGGGATCAATTTGACCCCCCCCCCGTAGTAAATTTTATATCGTGACTTCTCCAGAACTGCTGCAGATATAAAGTTTTCCTTCTATGACTTTTTTCTTTCGAGTCTTACGCATCTTTTGAAACATTTTTTTTGAAAATCAGACCTATAGTTATAAAGTCACGTGACCTTTTGTCTTTGCATGTCAGCCCGAAAAATCGCTCATTTTTGTGATTTGTGTACAAAACATATGGAAATACCATTTATTCTAAAAAAAGAGAGAAAACATTGGTTATTTGGTCTTGTTTAAAGTTTAGGTGTTTGTTTTGGGGTCAAAATAGTTAATTGTGGTTAGAAATAAAATTAAACAACAAAAACAATATAATACATAAGTTTAAAAAACAATGAAAGACATAAGAAATTATCAAAACAAGAGATAACATAAGGAATAACCTGGCTCTTCGAATTTTTTGTTGTATAATTATTTCAAATGGCCTAACAAATATATGTAGTGAAAAAGAATGCTTAAATATGAATCATATATGTTTGCATAAATTACCATAAATATGCAAATGAGTGAATTAAAAAAAAAAAAAATTGAAATTACTAGTATAGTATTCTATACACTTCACTTGACATGCATGCAATTCTCGCGGGGGTTGGCTGTGAAACGGCAGAAATCTTAGGGGGGGGGGGGGGGTCAAATTGCCCCCCCCCCCCCCCAGGTAAAAACCTGGTCTGAAATAGCCCGGTTAGAATAGAGTTGAACAAGGTATTAAAGGTCATTTGTAGTAGGTGCTAAGAATAACTTGGTCTTTTATTAATGCAATCATGTCCCTCATATTTAAATGTGAATAATTATCAAAATCTCTTTGTTTCTTTTGTCCTGTTCTGTTCGGTCATCACAGGGACACCAAACCCGGAGACATTGTGACTGTAGGTGAATGTCGCCCTCTCAGCAAGACCGTCAGGTTCAAAGTGCTCAAAGTGACACAGGCTCCGCTAAGAAGCAGTTTGCCAAGTTCTAAAACTGTCTGGAGATAATTTAGAGGGAATGTACAAATAAATTCACATCGCATCAACATGCATTGTCATTTGCATCATTAATTTTGTTTGTGTTGTGCTCTGAGGCCCATGTTAAGAAATTTAAAAAATGGTTAGATGTGAATATTGAGATATTTAAATTGTTCATGAGAAGAGAGAGAGAGAGAGAGAGAAAGAGAGATGGAAAAAAAGAAGGTGATAGAGATGGAGAGAAAAGCTATTGAGAGAAGTAGATGTAGGAGAAAGATGGATAGAGAAACAGAAGAAAGAGGGAGGGATAGACAGAAGAGATGACAAGAGAGAGAGAGAGAGAGAGAGAGAGAGAGAAGAAAGATTGAGACAAGTTGGGGGTAAAAGAAGAAACAGAGAATGGGAGACAGAGACTTGAGACAGTGTAAGTGCGAGAAAGATGACAAAATAAGAACGAGAGGTACATACAAGAAAGCAGGAGAGAGAGACAAAGAGGAAGAGCAAGGGAACAAGCGTTGTTCTACACGCACAGTGGGATCAGCTCTACTCTATTGCTATTAAAGGGCAAGTCCACTCCAAAAATAACTTCCTTTCAATAAGAGCAGAAAAATCGGACAAACCAATCAAAACAAGTTTGAGCGAAATCAGAAAACTAATAAGAAAGTTATGAATTTGTAACGACATGAAAAACTTTGAAAATCACAAGACAAATTGGCAACTCACTCATGAGTCTAATTCAAATTCATTTTGACCCGATCCCCAACATCACAAATCCTCTATGTGGGCATGCCTCGAACCATAATGCATTGCCCTAAAGAGGAATTTTCCTGTTAGCGACTGGAGAAAAATGCAATGAATTATTGATAATTTATTGCATTTCTTTTTTTCTTTTTTTTGTATTTGTGGGGGCGGCGACGTACCCTAGCCCCCGCTGCGTATGATTCAGTGGCTAAGCAATGGCCTCGTTTCTGTGAGGCGTCAAAATAAAAACCGTGTCGATCAGCTATATTAGTCCTCATTACTGTCAGTTATGACTTAAGAACATAGGTCCCCTAGTTGATTAGCATAGTAGCACACACATGCTTTAGCAATCACGCAAAACAAACACTCGCAAATTATTTTTCAATAAAATCTGAGAATGTATTCTATTATTTAGATCTATTAGGAATAAATCATTGTCAAAATCATTCCATAAATTGGGGTAAAAATAATTATTCCACCTTTATAACCAACAGTGTATATTCGTTGGCGACCTTCACTTGCCATCCTACGATTCAAAAAAAGATTGCCTGTGAATTGTGAATTGACTCTTGATTTGTGATGTATTTCTTTATAGCGTACATTCTTAATTTTCTTTTATTGAGGAAGGGTACATTGCACTTTTTCGAGGCACATATTAAATTATGGATCTTCATTGACGGGTCCCTCGGAAATTAGTGCTAAGCAGGTCACAGAGAATGTATGATTTCAACTAATCCTTTTAGTGCATTGTTTTTTGTTTCCCTTCAAATTTCATTGTGAAACTTTCCATATTTGATCGACATGGTGTATTTGCATATGGGCTATGGTTTCAGCGATGGATGCGGTGACATCGCACATGTAATATGTATATTTATAATGTTATTGAGATTCGGATTATTGGCAACGCATTCAATCAAATTGAAAAAGATGCAATACATAGTTGTACTCGATAATTCTCAGTTGACATATTCTCTCTCTCTCTCTCTTCTGTCTCACCATCTTTCTCCTACATCTACTTCCTCGATCGCCTTTCTTGCTCTCTCTCCCTCTCTGATATGCCTGCTCCCTGTCGATCTATCCAATCTCTCCCTCTCTCTTGCTCTCTCTCTCTCTCTCTCTCTCTCTCTCTCTTTCTCTCCCACCCTTCTATTTTTAATAATGATCCCTCTCACGTCATGAACAAAAGTAAATAACACGAGAAGAGGAATAATGACGTCATTCCGTTTAATGAGACTGTTTTGTGCACAATGTGTCAGAATAGAGAGCAGCTGATTAAAAAATTGACAATTAACAATCGTCCTTTACACGTTTCCTCTATACATATCAGGGGGGTGTGTCACAAAGATCCTAAGTAGAACTTAACACTAAGTTGAACTTAAAAATTATGGACAGCCATTGGAGCCTTAAAATGAAATATATTCAAAAGCAGAAATTCAAGTATTTTAGACTTTTTATGAATTCCACATCCAGAACATGAAGTCTCCTTGATGATAGAAAATATGAATGATTTGAATCAACATTTTATGCCTTTCAAAGTAACTTTTACAAAATATTTTCAAAGATGCTAATGGCTTTCCATAATTTTTAAGTCCAACTTAGAGATAAATTTAACTTAAGATCTTTGTGAAACACCCCCTGGTTTAACAATGCAAGGCAAAGTGACAAACAAAAGCTGAGGAGGGTTGTAAAACAAGCCAGCAAAATAATGAACCATACTGATGACCTAGATGAAGTCTGTAAGGAAAGAGTATAGTATTTAAGGCCCTATCCATTATGTCTGATCTTACCCACCCCCTTAATGACCATTGCATACACCTGAGAAGCGGACGAAGATTGAGATCTGTTAAAGCAAGAACTAGTCGCCGCATTAATTAATTCATTCCACTTTCCATAAGAGTAATAATAATAATAATAACTTTTATTTACCCAGGGTAGCCACTTCAGTTATGAAACTGTTCTTCCAGCGGGCCCTGCATAACATAATATGTTATTACTATACCCTTCTCCAATCTAATATGCTGAGCGCCTAGCTAGAAGGCAGAAGGTCCCATTGTTATAAGTCTTTGGTATGACTCGGCCGGGGTTCGAACCCACGACCTCCCGTTCATGAGGCGGGCGCACTAACGACTGAGCCACCATGCCCGGTGTTAATAGAGTAGTTAATGAAACCTAGTAAAGAATAGAGAATGTGAAAACCATGCAAAATACCCTCATTGCCATGTTACACGAATATATATATATTGTTTTCGTATACTTACTTTACTGTTGTACCCCTACTGTTATACCATATCAAGGAATAATTATTAACACAAAATACCTACTTCAGATTAGAGCATATAAGAATTTTAAAAAAAATGGAGGGTATGTAAGAAGAAAGAGAGAAGAAGAAGAAGAAGAAGAAGAAGAAGAAGAAGAAGAAGAAGAAAGGAGAAGAAGAAAGAGCATTTAATGTCTATGTTTGTATATTCATCATGATCATGCATATTATATCAAATGTATACTAAAACAGGGCCCTATGAATGTCAATTATGTTGTTCCTATGTTCATTATGTTGAAGCAAGATTGTTCATGTGCATAAACATGGACACAATAAAGAAATGAAATGAAAAATAATGCACGTGGACAAGAATGTGCCCTTCAATGCTTTTTATCAAACAATCAAATTCTCCAGTGAATCGAATTGGATAACCTGGGGGGGGGGGGGGGGGGTGTTTCATAAAGAGTTCGTAAATTTACGCATGACTTTATGAACGACTTGTATATGAAGTGCCAGATAGGATGCCCGAAGTGTTTTCTGATATTTCCAATAACCTCAATTAAATTATGGCAAAAAATAAACTTTACATTAAAAATGGTTGTTATAATACTAATCTACATCTGCACAGTTCAACTTAATAAATAATAATCAATAATGATTGAGCATCCCATTTGGCTTTTCATATACAAGTCGTTCGTAAAGTCATGCGTAACTCACGAACAGCTTTATGAAACACCCCCCAGCTTTCAACAAAACATTAGGCTACATATAGGCGTATTGATACTATACTTTGAAACTGACTGTAAATTGTATTATATATATTTATTGATTTTGTTTAATTTAAAAGGCAAGATTCAGAGTGGGGGAGGGGGGGGGGGCAATGTTTTGCATGAATTTGATGGCTATAGGGTTAATGTCAGTGATGACTGATCACCAATGATTATTTTTCTCGCATTAATTTGACAAAAGTCTCAATAAACAGAGAAGTCGTCTGACCACACGAAGAAGATCCAGCTAGTCTGCTTCCCGAACTTGTCGATGCTACTATTACTTGGAGGATTACGATGCTGTTAAAATAAAAGAAAATGGCAAATATAAAAATGAATTAAATATATAATTTGTTCCCATTTTTTGTTGTTGTATCCTTACAATATGTGCACGCAGCGATTACATTTCAGAAACAGGAGTTCGATACTATATTATGTTGCGATTCTGATAGTGGGTAAGCGGGATAATGAAAATCTGTGCACTCTTAGAGCAGTTTAGAATTAGGTAACATTTTACATATAAGAGGTAAAAATGGGAATATGCATGCATGTTTGTTCGGTGAAATGGACCCAACTTTGGTTAAACAATACAGTGTTGGTCAGTGGCGGATCCAGGGGGGGGGGGGCCGGGGGGCCCGCCCCCCCCCCCCCCCTTGAGAAAAAAAAATCATGTAAAATCACGTGATTTTTACCTTTTTTTTGGGGGGGGGGGTGCAAATTGAATTTTTTTTTGAGGATCAAAAAAAAAAAATGTGCTCACTCCTCCCCCCCCCCCCCCAAAAAAAAACAAAAAAACAAAAAAAAACTGGAAATTGTACTCGATTGAAAAGATATTCATATAGGTTTGATGTTCACCATTGATCATTGATCGAGGATTCATAGTATTATAGTTCTGGACCATTTTATTGATTTTGTTTTATTCGCCGACTATAAGCGTTAATTAAGCCGAGTGATGGCGCGATCTTTAGTCACGGCCCCATTCCGATCGAGAACCGGTCCGGAAATTTTCTCGGGATCGCGCCGTCACTAAAGATCGCGCCATCACTCGGCTTAACGCTTATAGTCGGCGAATAAAAAATTCAATAAAAGGGTCCAGAACTAAGGATTGACGGTGTACGCTCAAAACAGCCACACCTCACAGGACAAGTATGTGGCTAATGGACTGAAGCCATCACTATCAACATGACGGACAAAGAAAGAGGACAAAATATACAGTTCCTCATTCTACCCTCAACAATTGCTGTGGTAGACAAAGGAACATCCCTTCACTCCCAGGTCGAAAATCCCATAGAGACCAATAGAGACCATTAGAAAAATTCTATTGGTCTCTAATGGTTTCTGTTGGAGTCTATTGGTTTCTGTTGGACCCATAGAATTGAATCCAATAGAGACCATTCTAACCATTAGAAACCAATAGAAACCAATAGCACCCATAGAAACCAATAGAAATAGAAACCAATAGGACCAATAGAAACCAATAGGACCAATAGAAACCAATAATACCAATAGAAACCAATAGGACCAATATAGGACCAATAGAAACCAATAGGACCAATATAAACCAATAAGACCAATAGAAACCAATAGAACCGATAGGACCAATAGGCCCAATAGGACCGATAGGACCAATAGAAAACCAATGAGACCAATAGAACCCAATGGGACCAATAGAAACCAATAGGTCCAATAGAAACCAATAGAAACCAACAGCTAAATTTATCTCATGCATATTCATGATTACTTTATACGTGTTCACAGAAAATTACATTTATCATAATTTGTTAAGCAACTTATGACAATGTACATCAATTTTGTGATTTTTATTTTCTTTTGGCAACTAATGACCAACAGATTATTTGTTTAATCATGTTACAATTTCATTCACGTTTTAGCAATAGATATATTGATTATAATGATTACTATAAAATACTAACCAAGAAACAATTCATGTATGTTTATTATATACAATAGTACAAGCATTCAGTTAAAATAAAGGATATTCTCAAACTCACTTCAAGAGATCTATGTGATGGAGTTAATGCAATTGAAATTAGAATATCCTTTTTTTTTTGGTGGACAGTTGCTAAAATCGATTTTGATTTATCATTATTGATATACCAATAGAAGCCATTGGACTATTGGTTTCAATAGGGAATTCAGAATATGGGACCATTAGAAACCCATAGAAAGATCTCTAGTGGACCAACAGGAACCCATAGAAAATATCTAATGGACCAACAGAAACCCATCATAGAAGAAAATATCTATGAGGCTGTTCACACCGCAATGAGATAGCGCGGTCTATTGTAGCACCCCTTTTTTTCTAGCGCGCGCTAAACCACGCTCTCTCTCGTGGACCACCCCCAAGAAGTGCTCCAGTGGCACGCCGTTTTGGCTCGCCGTGGCTCGCTGTTGGGCGGACCGAAACGACGTTGTACCTTCCAAACCGCAGAGATAGCGCGGTCTAGCGCGCGCTATCCTTGCCGGTGTGAACAGCCTCTAATGGACCAACAGAAACCCATAGAAGACATGGGTGGATGCTGGTCCAATAGAAGCTTTCTGTTGGTCCATCAGCATTTCTTTCTGTGGGTTTGTGTTGGTCCAATAGATATTTTCTAATGGTTTCTGTGGGTCCATCATTTCACTTTCCCTATTGAAACCATTAGACACCAATAGCTCTAATGGTTTCTGATGGTCCAATAGGATCGGATCCTAATGGAATTTCGACCTGGGCTGCTATTATGTAAAAACGTGTAGAACAGGATGGTGAACATGCACGTGACACCTGTTCTACACAGCAGTGAAGGGATGTTCCTTTGTCTACCACAGCAATTGTTGAGGGTAGAATGAGGAACTGTATATTTTGTCCTTTCTCTTTGTCCGTCAAATTGCATGCATCTTCATGAGCCCGTGACATACCTTTTGGACAAGATCAAGATGCGGATCTTTAGTGCTCCTTATCAGAACATAGCTGATGCTACTTTTGTGATCCTGTATAATAGGGCCATCCCTTCAGCTGGATGTCTGTAGCACCAAGAGGAGAGAATGAAGCTTGTCACAACTACAATAAGTGAGTTCGTAATTAGGATTTGCGCATGGGCAGATAAAGATCATTCGTACCCAAATTGTAAAACCATTGAGACGAATACTCGGATCGTGCTCATGAAAGTTATGTAATCAGTATTCATTTATGCACCAACAGTACAATTATCTGATACACAGATGGAAGTATTCTTCTCAAGAGGGCAAACAAAAGGTATTCATGAAGCACATTTAGGACTTTGGCAGTTATTCTAAGATGCTCAAAGTGGAACTTTGTGTAACATGTGTAAAAGATCTGCGGATATTTGGGGTCATTTGTACCATGTGCTATCTGTAAACTCCCTTATTGTAAAACTTTTGAGACGACTACTCGGATCGTGCTCATGAAAGTTATGTAATCAGTATTCATCACTATGGCATTGGTTATTCTAAAATGCACAGGTGGGAAGTATCCATCGTGTCTAAGATCTGTGGATATTTTGGGGTCATGCGTTCGAGAGCTATTTACGAACTCGCTTATTAAAAATCACTAGTAACTATATCGGCCTATAACACTAACTTGTACACGAAATTGAACGAAGAATAACGAACAAGAGTAATAATCATAAACATTCCTTTGTCGTCAAGTGACAGTATGATTGCATGTGATCTTGAGAAATATACATGAAAGGTCAATTCATTAGACCGATATTACGTGCCTTATATTTTATTCACCTGATATATGAATAATAGTATTTCAATAGTCAGAATGCAACTGTATATATATTAAGTGTTGCTAGGTAGGTCAAGCCATAATGTTTGTCCAACCTGGCAACTACTAATGTATGCTGTTCGGATTCTGTCTATTGAAATACTATTATTCTTATCAGGTGAATGATATAATTTGTATTGAGGCACTTTACAAAGACTTGTGCATTAAATTTGGTTACATTACGAAAATAAGATCATGTGATATTTAAGCCTCGTCGGGTGCCGGAGTATTTAAATGCCATGTGCGGGATTTGTAGCAGAGTTTATTTTGTTCCGTTACTATGGTAAGGATGTGCTGCTAGTATAGGCTATAGGGGCGCGCCCAGCCTCTGAGAGAATAAGCTATTTTAAAATGTCTTTAAATAATTAATCTTCTTAGTAACTACTGAAGCTTCGGCTGACTTTATAAATAATAAAGTGGACTTCAACTGTATATCCGAGCTTCTTTCGTTTTCATTTTGTTTCTGAAGTTGTAATTGTCACCGACCCATTGCGGGCCCATTACAATAATGACAAACAATAGTTCTATTGCGCATATCACAACGCATGAAGTTCCTATGCGCGTTTATTTTAATAGAGAAGGAGATGAAGCAATTAAAGTACGACAATACTCTTTTAGAGGGATGTACTACATGCAATGGAAGAAGAAGTAAAGCAGGGTATTAATGAAATGAGAATAAGGCGGTGTCACACAGAAAATTAATCCCGACCGATCTTGAATAAACCATATCTTAGAAATCTAGTTTTTTCATTTACGTCGGTGACAGACTGGTGACAGCCCGGGTGCCCCCCCCCCCCCCACTCCGAGAATGGACGGACCCCATGTGTGTTACCAAAATGTCCTTTCGTAACAAAAGAAAAAGGTCGACCCGTATTGACTTTACACACCGAACTTTTGCTGAAAAGGGGGGGGGGGGGGGGGGAGGGTGCTGAAAAAGGCTCGTATAACAAAAGAAAAAGGTCGACCCATATTGACTTTACACACCGGACTTTTGCTGAAAGGGGGGGGGGGGGTCGCTTGGAACACGCATATGCGTACCCTAAATAACACTGAGTGGGGGCCGGGCCCGGGTGACAGACAGGCTACGAATAAACCGGATAAATAAAATCCGGATTTTTGATGGGCCATATTGCGCATGCACCGTTTAGGTAGATAAGCATTGTGACACCACGCATTTAAACGTGTGATGTCACAATGCTTATTTAAAGGGATTATTTCAAGATCGGTGTCAGACAGAAAAATCCCTTCAAAAATCCTTTCAAGGAAGAATTATCTTGCTTCGTTAGAGGATTTTTGAAGGGATTTTTGAAGGGATAATAAATTGATGACAGACAGCCATTTAGAGGATAACTAAAATCCGGATTTTTGGCCTCTGTGTGACACCGCCTAATGACATACATATCATTTCAATAATGAAAACAACTCTGGGGGTGTTTCACAAAGATCCTAAGTTGAACTTTTTAAGTTGGACTTAAAAATTATGGGAAGCCGTTAGCATCTTTAAAAATATTTTGGAAATGTTATTTTCAAAGGCACAAAATGTTGATTCAAACATTCATACTTTCTATCATCAAGGAGATTTCATGTTCTGGATGTGGAATTGATAAAAAGTCTAAAATACTTGAATTTCTGCTTTTGAATATATTCCATTTTAAGGCTGCAATGGCTGTCCATAATTTTTAAGTCCAACTTAGTGTTAAGTTGTACTTAGGATCTTTGTGAAACACCCCCCTGATCACATTCAATTGTGAACAATCCCCTACTTTATCATCAAACCTCAGTGCACACTTTCTGGAAACTTGTTTTGATTATGTCAGCCAATCAAAATGTGTTCCCAAAACAATTGAAAACCTATCTAATGTCTGAATTCCTTAGTTAAGACGTAGTGTATTTCAAAATATGATGTAATTAACGTTGTTGAATTATATTTAATTATGTTAAATTATTTTCGTTCAATGTACTTACCTTGTTAGGCGCCTTGAGCATCTCTTGGGGTGGATTTGTGCGCATTATAAATGTTGTTATTATTTATTATTATTATTATTATGTAAAAACATCATTGTGATATTGGCACAAATATACGGTTATTGGATTTTTGTATAGGTCGAGTGTTTTGAATTATTATGCTTTAGTTATTCGTTTAGTTGGTTGACAACATTACAATGAATAAGCGAGTTCGTAATTAGGATTTGTGCATGTGCAGATAAAGGTAATTCGTTCCCAAATTGTAAAACCATTGAGACGAATACTCGTATCGTGCTCATGTAGTCATTTATGTACCGACAGTACATTCTGATACACAGGTGGAAGTATATTCTTCTCAAGAGGGTAAACAAAAATTCATGAAGCACCTCCATCACTTCGACAGTGATTATTCTAAAATGCACAAGTGGGACGTATCCATGGTGTAAGAGATCTGTGGATATTTGGGGTCATGCGTTCCGAAGCTAATTTACGAACTGGCTTATTGCTTACCAGCTGTATCGTTCTTGGTGTTCTCACTGACATTCAACTCATCAGAACTGTCGATCTCATCTTCCTCGACTGATGAAATACTTGCTGCCACGGCAAATGCAATCAGAAAGTAGAGAGCAATCATGGTTTTTGACGCCCGCATTTCAAAGTCTAAGGAAAATAGAATCAACATGAATTACATTTTGATTATTGGTCAAAGCTACGGTGAAATTGCAACATAATAAAAAATATTAGTATAGAATAGTGACGTACTGAAACTTTCCTTTTACCGCTCATCAAGAATGAACAGAAAGCCGAAATCGGACAATATGAAGTAATAACGGAAACTGAGAGAACAAGTTGCGCGAAAAATAACGGGCTTCGAGACGATTGGCTGCCGGGAAAAAAAGGGAGTTGCGGTTTGCTCTGATGAATGCAAGGTGGAAGGCTTCAGAATGTCCACATTTAATCATATTGTTCGTTTTCTGAAACCAAACAACTGAGAATGTTTTTAATGCCCTGTTCAAAGACGATGTTCCCGGCCCACTTCTGCACTGCTGTAGTGCAGGTAGTTAACGGCTTTACCCCACCCTCCTTAAGAATACGATGATAAGGATTCGACACATTAGTTGCACTTTCACAGAATAGAAGCAGGAGAATCAAACATTTAATCTGTTCATATTAATTACTTTTTATTTGTTAAATATCTTTTCTTAAATTATCCTACCATCTCATACCATACTGTTTGATGCTCTTATATGTTTTTTGTATATAATGTTTTTCATGTTTATGTCCTCATGTTCTCATGTTCTATGTTTCATGTATTATTCGACCAATATCTATTTTTTATAATAATAATGTAAAACAAACAAATATACAAACTAGGTGAACACACCCAAACAGGTCAAAAACCTGGCTTTTATTGTGTTCACCATTTTCCAATTATCCACTTAAGTTTTTAATGTATAGCCTGTACCTTGTTTCTCTTTTATTGCTATACTTGTTTTGTTTTGTTTTCTTCTTAATCGTTTGATTGAAATGTCATAGTTTTACAATGTTTTTATTGCCTATTGACTGTTTTTTACAGATAGTTTTTAATTGATGTTGGATTTGGAAATAAATGATTTGATTTGATTTGAAAGAAACCGTGTGGAATCGATCAGAAAAGTTGATCATGTAGCATATAAGTATTGGTGTGTACTGCAAGGTTCTGGAACTTATCTTCAAAATTATTAGAAATTTGGCCCAGTCTTGGTAAAAGTAACAATTAAGCACTGTACACAGAAAGATGTATATGGGACGACACAAACATGTGGGGTACATAATTGTGGTCCACCCTTTTAAGCTGTTACATGTCATATTTAGAATATGAAAGCATTTGAATCAGAGCCATGTAGGGAACATTTTTTTCTCTGATGTTCTTCCACACTTGCATAAAATTAACAATATAAACGCTCACAAATTATTTTTCACCTCTCCCCAGAACTCAACCTTCTCTTTAAAGATGCCCCATTTGCAGGCCAACTTAAAATGAAAAGGACATTCCAATGGCATTCGAAAGACAATACTAATTTAGAACTTCCCTCAAAACGAAAGGGCTTGAAAATGGCTTTTAGTGGGAAAATAACGACCATTAGTTTTCGAATCGACTTGAGTGATTTGCATTCACCTAAGTTAAGATTTTTAGACCCTTTTACCGAATGGTTGTAAGTTTTGTGCTGCACAAAGATTCAATCAGTTTAATTCACTTTTTTTTTAGCGCTCTAGATATCATTATCGACACAATTACAAACTGACGCAATCAGAAAGATGTCTCATGAGCAAGAGGCATAACGTAAGGACTGTATAGGCGGCCTACCTGATTTCGATGCGGTGTTCGAGTAGAATTCTGTGAGATGATGATATTCTTTCTCGTAGCTTGATGTGACGAAGCGTCTCTACCCAGATGAATGTTGAAGTAGTCTAGATAGCTTCTAGTTTTGTAGAATATCATTAAAGCCTGCCACGACCATCTGCTCGTATGAACTGACAAGTCACCGCATGTAAAATTGGATTTTGTGTTCACCATTATGCTGGTGGATAAAACTTTCCAAAAATCCGAGAAATATGACCTTGGAACAAATTGTTTGATTAATTTTTATTCAAACTTTTTATCATGGTAATTGTTCGTAACCGACAAGTCACCGCATGTAAAATTGGATATCGTGTTCAGCATGATTATGCTGGTGGATAAAATTTGCTCAAAATCCGAGAAATATGACTTCAGAACAAATTGTTTGACCATTTTTTAGTAAAACTTTTAATCATTGTCATTGTCATCATTCTGGCATCTCCATTTTATATTTAATTTCTAGTCTGTATCTTAACTACAGCCAGATTTCGTATTGTTTGGTAGATTGAGTATATATATCGAAGCCTGCCGTTCGTATCCCGCAAGTCACCACATGCATGTACTATTATTGAATGAATCGATCAGCGTCAAATAATTGATTTATCATCGCTCTATAGTTAATTATTTTACATTCTAATATACCTGCATTCGAATCGGTCATGAATGAACATTTTAATAGATATCTTAAATGTTCGTTTTGATTAATTTCCTCCCCATTTCTTTCTCCCTGTTAAATACTGATAAAATGTTCAATTTATCGTAATCAAGGCAAAATATTGTATTCCTATTTTCTTTATGCAAGAGAAAGAGAGAGAGAGAATAATGTTAACTGAGAATTATCGAGTACAACTAGGAATTGTATCCTTTTCAATATGATTCAATTCGCTGCCAATATTCATGATCCGAGTATGAAAAATCCTCATAAGCCGCAACGTCGCTCCAACCATAGATCATAATATGCCAAAACATGAATATAAATAAAATTTACCATGCACCCTATGCTCTGACAGGCTTCAGTTGAAATCATAAAATATTTGTGACTGGCTTTAATAGCACTAGTTTCTGAGGAACCAGCCTTTGAAGATGACAGGTGACACGAAATAAGTGCGGTGTTCATTTCATTTATATCCTACGTCAAGAAATGAAAAAAACTAAAAATGTAAGCTTTAAATAAATACATCAGAAATCAAGTATGAATTCACACCTTTGTCAAAATTGCTCACAAACACACACACACACACACACACACACACACACACACACACACACACACAAAGTGTGCTTGCGAATAGAGTTGCCCACTCCAGGGTGGCTGGTGTTTTGTTGTTGTTGGGGGGGGGGGGGGGGGGGGGTATTAGAGGACACTTTTTTGGGGGGAGTCCCCAAAAAAATCGCAACGACTCAGCCAGCCGCTGAATAAGCGGGGGGTGGGGGGGGGGGGGGGGGGGGGGGGGGGGGTTAAGAGGACTTTTTTTTTTGGGGGGGGGGGTCCCGAAATTTGAAATTTAGACCCATCGACAGTCATCTACAAGGACTTTTTGTTTTCGAAAAAAAGGGGAGGGGGGGGGGGGGGTTCCCCCCAAAATACACAAAACATACACATAACACAAATTCAAGGGGGTTACCCCCCCCCCCCCCCGCGTACGCGCCTGGATTAGGTTGATATTGGAGCCTGTTGTTCGTAACCGACAAGCCACCACATTCATCAATGAATCAATCAACGTTAAAGAATTGATTTATCATCGCTCTATAAGTAATTATTTTACATTTTAATAAACCTGCATTCGTATCCACCACGAACGAACATTAAAGGTAAAGACCAGTTATGGTCATGCGATTGCATTGCATGTGAAAGAAACGTTGTGGAATCGATCAGAAAAGGTAGATCATCTAGCATCTAGCATCTGCAAGGTTCTGGAATCATCAAAATGATAAGAAATTTGGCCCATTCTTCGTAAAGTTACAAGCACTATACACAGAAAGATGTATCGGGACTACCCTATATCTGTACAGACCATGAGAGAAACAAATTTACCAAATATATGAATTAGTAGGCGGTTTCCCAGCAAATTTTTTATCATCATGTATTAGTCAAAACATATTCTTTCACATGATTGGTAACGAGAGCTTCCATTTCATTTTTTGAAATTGGGGCGTTTCCAATACTGGTCTTTACCTTTAATTAGGTATCTTAAATATTCGTTTTGATTAATTTCCTCCCCATTTCTTTCTCACCCTTCTGATAAAATGTTCAATTTGTCTTAATCAAGGCAAAATATTACATTCGTATTTTCTTTATGTAAGAGAGAGAGAGAGAGAGAGAGAGAGATGGAGAGAGAGAGAGAGAGAGAGAGAGAGAGCAAGAAAATAAAATAAAAATGAGAGCAAGAGATAAAACAGGACAGAGAGAAGAGGGAGCGCAAGAATGCACTAGAGCTCGGCACAATCAAGGGAATCAGAACAAGCATAATGTTCTACACAGTGGGCTCAACTCTCCTCTATTTCTATTATATCCTCAACCTTTTTTTTTCTTCCTTTCTCACTCTCTTCTATCCTCAATACACAAGCGATAACCTCTTCCTTCGCTTTCATAAACTCGTCAGTTGCATATATATATACTATAGCAGGGGGGTATTTCACAAAGATCCTAAGTAGAACTTAACACTAAGTTGGACTTAAAAATTATGGACAGCCATTGGAGCCTTAAAATGAAATATATTCAAAAGCAGAAATTCAAGTATTTTAGACTTTTTATAAATTCCACATCAAGAACATGAAATCTCCTTGATGATAGAAAATATGAATGATTTGGATCAACATTTTATGCCTTTCAAAATATTTTCAAAGATGCTAATGGCTTTCTATAATTTTTAAGTCCAACTTAGAGATAAGTTCAACTTAGGATCTTTGTGAATACCCCCCTGGACTTCACCCAATTAGGGGTACTGGAACAAATGGGGGGGGGGGGGGGGGTGGTTTTGCGGGGCCTGCACCAGTCTTGGAAAGTGAAATGTGTACATGCAAGGCTCCCGATTTAGGGAGTCTTGATCCCCTGACCACCTAGGTGTTCTTTTCTCATCCTTTTCCCTTCTCTTTATCTCTTTCACCACTCAATAGGGGAAGGGGTGCAGGATATGTGCCCCCTCCCCACCCAACAGGCAACTATATATGCCACTGCTGTTGCCTATCAAGTTAGGACAAACTTATCTTACCCCTTTTCACGAAATGATCAAGAAAATACATGCACAATTTATCTTGAACTTTATCTCTAAGAAGAATAAATTATACTGTCATAATCATTTCATGAAAAGAGGCAAGTGTATTCAAACGTCTTTAATAGGCAAACTTTAAGGCCCGAATTCACAAAGGAGGTTTGTCGACAAACCTTGGTTTTCGTACGTCATATGACGCGTTTTACGCGTTTTTTACAAACCTGGTTTGTAAAGAACAAAAGGAGGTTTGGCGAAACAAAAGGAGGTTTGAGCTCAAACCTTGGTCTGAGCTCAAACCTTGCTTTGTGAATTCGGGCCTAACAGTTTACATCTCGCTCATTTCACCTGCTTCAGGCTTTCACCTTTACTCTATTGTCTTCGCTCTCATACATGTATATGGGCGAGACCAAGGAATATAGTCACCTGGTGCGCCATGGGGGTGGGGTGTTTTCACAAAGATCCCAAGTTGAACTTATCTCTAAATTTGACTCAACAATTATGGAATGCTGTTAGCATCTTTGAAAATATTTTGAATTATATCATTCATATTTTCTATCAAGGGAGATTTCATGTCCTTGATGTGGAATTTATGAAAGTATAAAATACTTGAATATTTGCTTTTGAATATATTTTATTTTAAGGCTACAAATGGCTCTCCATAATTTTTAAGTCCAACTTAAGAGTTAAGTTCTACTTAAAATCTCTGTGAAACACCCCAGATGTTATAGTTTTGAGGAATTCTTGAACATGCATTGAGCATTAATGTGACATTTCATCGCGTATTTGGTCTGATTTGAGCTCTAGTAGAGCTATTAATATCAAAACCCCTCTTAAAGTGTTGGGAACCTCAACAATGTGATGGCAGAATTTCACTTTAATTCGTCGCTGTTTTCACGAAGTGACGGTAGTGAAAACAAATTGCAATCACTTTGCGTTACGATTTTCCTCACTACCGTCACTTCGTGAAAACAAGGACGAATTGTTTCATAATGTGAATGAGGATGCAAGAATTTTCAAAACAGATGTGTTTAAAGTTGAATATTGATAACAGAATACAACATTTAGGTTTTCTGCGTTCAACAGTAAACCCAAAGTATTCTTTTACATGATCTATAAATGTACTAGAATCTTAGATGTCGTCAGTAAAATTGGACAAGATGAATCGGATATCACAAGCAGTTTCTTTTCAGTATTATTCAATTTCTTTCTCAAACTTTCACTATCCTCTTTCTTTCCCTTTTCTGCTTCCATTCAAAACAACTTGCTATTGGCTTTTGGATACCCTACCAACAAATTTACCTGTATTCCTTAGTAAAATCAGTTGGGACCGCAACAAAATACCTCAACCTTGCCAAGAAACACACACCCAAATAAAAATGAAATACCACAACTTTCATATTTCTTTCCTGAATACCTGTTTAATTTCCTTCACAAATAGGTCAAAAATATGAATTTTCTGAGAAACAGAACAGCTTTTAAACTTAGTCTTACATTGAAATAAATGTACAATCAAAAATCAAATACAAACTTGAGCTAGACAGTCATGTTTACTTACAATAGAAACATGAAACGTGTATAGTTACTAGTGGTATAGGCTACCCTAGATTTTGCTGTATGTAGTCATTAACAAATACCGTGCGAGTTAACAAAAAGCTTCCACTCAGAAAAATTGGCATTTATTTTAAAAGTCAGCTATGAATGAAAGGTTATCATACATGCTTTGAAACTGAAAGATTGTTTTATCCCAAATCATTTGGTATCATCTATGTTAAGTATGTGTTCACGGTTGGATGAACAGGAGGCATTGTTTGCGAAAGTGCAAAAATTGACTTACGCAGAATTGAATGTATCAAATGTGATGCATTGCATATGCTTTATGCAGAAGCAAAGTCACACACACCTACAAACACACAGGCGCACAAAAGTTCTTTGATATTTGATAATGTGCGGCATGATTAATTTTGTTAGCATTGTTATTTGGATCTGCAAAGACAGAATTAGTACCCAAATCCCAATTATTTTATTCTAACATTACATTTACTACTTTGGACTAATTGATTTTTGCACTCTCGCAAACAATGTCTCCTGTTCATCCAACCGTGAACACATACTTAACATAGATGATACCAAATGATTTGGGATAAAACACTATTTCATAAGATGTATACTGATTTACTGGTAGATGATTTTTTTTTTAAATTAGCAATTTTCTAAGTGTAAACTTTTTTTTGCTCTCACACTGTACAGGCCTTAACAAAGATACAGGAAGAATGTGAAATTAGTAATTATCAAAATATGAGAGGAAATACACTGCTGTACAAACTTCACAAGTTCATAGTCGAGAATTAGCCGTGGTTGAAATATCTCGAAAAATTCTACACAAGTGATTTATTGAAAGGCAGGAATATCCAGGCAAAATTTGTCAAGTATACAGTCCATCTCCGTACATGTATGCCAAATGGAATATGAAGAAATCTAAATCCTGACCTTTTCAAAATTTCCCAAATAACCTTTAAATATTTTGGTCACTAAGCGCAGCATGTAACTTTTAAAGTATTATTCATTTCAGATTACAATCATTATCATCTTATTGTAATTCTTCTAGTAGCTAAGTAGAACAAGAAAAACCATGAACATATTCAGCAAAATACAAAAACAAAATTATAATAAAAATGAGATTTTCCATGAAAATCTTAAATATTACTACACATATGTGCATTCAAAGATGAAACAACGTTTACAGATAAACAGATATTTTCAGTTAACAACTAAATTATTCATAAGGTTACCCAGTTTTGTAATTTTTTCAGTATGTGAAAAATTGATTTGTCCTAATGATTCTTAGGAATGGGACATATAAGCTTACCGTACATCATAATGCATTCGACAAAGGGCTATACCATAATTCAACAAATCAACCTTTCATTTTTGAAAGATACCAACAACATCTAATTTACAAGAGGTATGAATGATTCAGGTGTTAACTTTATGCTTTAAAGTGACCACAAAGTGGAGGGGAGGGGGGGGGGGGGGGGGTGTTTACAATACATGTATCTTTCAAGTGTCTAGTTTCAACAACATCAGAAATAGTTACTAAAACAATCCTTGTATGTGCATGATTATCTATCTATCTACCAGTCTTATAAAAAATAGTATTCCGCACCTCATCAACTTTGCTATTACATGTACCTGTACAACATCTGCAATTGCGTCTTTTAATGTGCAGTCTCATATTCTGCATCGTCCTGTCAATATAATTATTTTAAAACTAGCATCAGTTCACTCATTTTTCCTGTTTCAAAGAAATACACACATATGACTCAACTTCCTCAGTAGACCCGTTCACAGACGTGTGCTCACATTTCAAAGACATATCTACTATGATAGTTGCCCTAGGTGACCTACATCCTCATCCAAAGTTTGCCCCACATAGCAACACCCTATAAAAACTTCCAAATGCAAGAGGTTTGAAGGCCGTCTGTACTAGTGTGGACAGGAGGGATTAGACCCTCCAGCAAGGTCACTGACAGGTGGCTATCTCATCAACTCATCTCTCAATTAACATAAGAAAAAGAGGATCATAGGGGACCAACAGGCACTGATTAGGCATTGCTTTCTATATAAAGGGAGCAAGTAGCTACAAGTAGCACAGTGGGGCAGGGCTTAAATTAATCCAAGGCCATCCAAGGCCAGGCCTTGGATGCCCCTTTGATTGGCCTCAATGCCCCTCTCACTGGCCTTGGAGATTTTGTGTGCCCTTTCCAATTCTTCCTATTTGTGCTGTACTATAGGAATGTGCCCTACAGAAAAGTGGCCTTGCCCTAAAAATATTGAAATTTAAGGCCTGGTGGGGCTTTAACACAAGTTTGCTGAGAGCGCTGATGGAGTTAGAAACCACTGCAACATAAGACTCATCATCTCATGAAATTGACAAATAACAATGTGTGCAACTGTGCATGAATGTTTCTGGTTGTATGCTGCTGGATGTTAACACAATGGACCAAGAGGAAATTTACAGAAAAATATTATTTAATGCAGTCAACCAAAGTTTCCTCTAGAGATCAGGGACCCATTTCACACAGCCTTTTTCCGATGACAAATGACAAAACTCAGTGATAAATCTGCTGATGACCAATCAGAAGCAAGGATTTCACTAGCTTATAACAAAAACTGTCATTTGTCACTGATGACAAGTCTTGTGAAATGGGGCCCAGGGGAACTGCACATCACATAAAAGGAAAGAAGGAAAATCAGGTTATTTGTATAGCATTGGCACACTAAAAGTCCATTATTAGGAGACACATGTGTAATACATTTTCATCTCACTGTGGACACTTCCCGGCCACCTTTCCTGTAAGGAAAACTAGTACGATAAACAATCTAATCTAAAGAATCAAGGCAATGAATGCAAATATTTTCTCCAGGAAGTTGCAATATTCATTAAGCCTAGACACACTTCATTTGAATTGGATTCTACTGAGATAGCATGACAATCTGTAAAGTTTCTCTCTAGATGCACGTACACTCATTCAATCATTGATCGCTGCCTTGAGGCATTCCCTGCACCACAATTTGTTTCATTGAAGGTTCCGGCGCCGGCAAGATTAAACCGGAGGCGGACGCCGCCTGTAAGATGACGTTGCTTTGTAGAACCTGATCTGATGCTACCGGCGGTGTTATAGGCTGTCCTACATGGGAAAGCATTGGCATGGGCGGTACCAGAGAGGGACTGAAAGATGCTGCTGCAGATGGAACCAAAGATTGTGATACAGAAGGTGCAACTACTCCAGAATCAATGAGGTGAACGATCTGGTTTGCCACAGCTTTGGAAGGACTCCCTGCTAGAACGGTGCTTTGATTTGGCGGTAGTGCTACCAATATTGAGCCCACTGCTGAAGGAACCTGTACCGAAGGAGCCATTTGTACTGAAGGTGCCATTTGCATAGAAGGCGCCGACATGACTGATACTGCCCTTCCAGCTGGTACCTTAGACTGCATACCCGCTACTGGTGCATGGGAACCAGTACTAAGAGCGTAAACCGCTTGTGGAACCGGTGGTATAGGGGTTGTTATCATATTAACTACACTGGTATTGCTACCCGCAGCTGGATTTCCAACCTGGGGTATGGGTACAGGATTCTGCACCACTACATTTTGAGCTACTTGTCCTTGCGGAGTACCCCCTACAGCCTGCATCACAATTTTATTCCCACCCTGTGGTACCATATGAATCTGCATATTTCTTCCACTGGTAGCAGCAGGCACTGGTTGTAGGGGTTGCTGCACCGTCACTAATGGTACCGCACCTTGCAGGGTACCGCCAGTAGCGGTTGAATCATCAGCGGCGCATGGTTGGAGACAGAGTTCAGGTTTGGATGCCCCAGGCTTCTGCACGTAGAGAATCTTATATTGCTTGTTGTGCATATTCACTTTCAAGTTGGTCGGCAGGACAATGGTTTTCTGGACTCCGGTACCCGAGGCGCCCGCAGTCAGTTGCGCCGCCACACTTTGCACCTTCAGATTAGCCAACCTGTTGACATCTGGTGTTGATGGTGAATCAAGCTGCTGAACCCCTTGTGGTTTGGGTGAGAGGGAAATGACGGTTGCCTGAGGTTTGACACCGATGGTGGTACCGATGGTGGTACCTTTGGTACCGAGTCCGCCCAGGAGATTGGTTCCCACACCAGATGTAGTATCTCCCAAGATGATGCTCTGTGTCCCATGTAAAAAAAAGAGAAAAAAGAAGGAAATATCATTCATTATGGTTACTTCATCATGTTTGTTTACATCGGCCTCGGTCTACTAACTGAAGGCAAAGGATGAGCAAAACATACGATCTCATATACTTTTTGATACGGCTGATAGTTCTTTGTTACTTTCATGAATAGTGATTGCAGAAAAAGAGTCTATGCATTTTCTTTGTAGGCTAGGGTATTCATATATTTTGAAGCTTTTTTTAAATACCATTCGACTTATTGTCCAATTGTATAGTTACCGACTCAAAACAAAACTGATTTTTTTTATAAATATTTGTTAAATAATTATTATCTGGAGCATATTAAGATGCTATATAACTTATTTTAGTAATTCAAAATCAAACATAGATGTATTAATCTTAAAATCATTGGCTTTCTCATGAACGGCGGCACCACCACTCATTCACCCTGCACAGGGGAACTATTTCCACCCCCATAGTCTTTGCACACAAGCATGCCTGTAACTGAACAGTGAATGAGAGGCGACTTGAGTTCACAAGTTTGTCAAAAAAAGTTATGATTAGATTCCATGCAGATACAGATTTTCATGCAAATAATGAATGGGAAACACGGTGTATAAACAAAATAATTGTTTAAAGGATTAGAAAAAAAAGTAAAAGAGAAATTTAGAATGGAACATAATATAAGCCTGTCGTCATCAGCTCGAGACTGCCAAATAACCTGCTATTTTGACTATCCCGATCGCCAATTATCCAGCTACTTTGCGTCTTCATCTGCCCGCAGCTGCAATTAGCGGGATATTTGGTAATCATCCCAAGATATCTTGGGCTAGTTTGCAAAATATCCTGCTATTTGGCAAACTATCCCACTTTTTGTCCGGCACGTCTTCACCAGCCCGAAGACTCGCACTATGCGCGAACGCTGAGCAAAATATCTCGAGCTTGAGTTTCAAGGTCGAGTACCTAGGTGATGAAGACCCGATTTGTAACTTCGGGCTCATTTCCCAAATCAGTAATAATGGGCTAATTGGCAATCTCGAGCTGATGAAAACAGGCCTACTGAGATAAATTAAAATTGTAATAAATGAATAATGCACAAACTAAGTTGGTAAAATCATGCAGTAACAAAAAATAACAAATCTTTGGATTGTATGCTCAGATTACTTTTTAGAAAGGGTATAAAACACAAGATTATAACAAACATCAGGGTTTGCCTGATTCAAACAGAGTTGATTTAAATTACCATGTATACTAAAAGTGATATTGGGGAGGGGAGGGGAGGGGAGGGGAGGGATGAGGGGTTGGGGGTACAAGGGACACATATTCCTCTGGCTAGTGAACCTTCTCTAGCATCCATAGCATAATGTTGCATCTTAATGTTTGTATAAAGAGTATTCCTAACATTGCCCCGGTGAATTTGTCTTCTCACAAAGTCAAATCTGAATAGGATTAAAGATAAAGTTGAGTTCTGGTAATGCGATTGCATTGTGAAAGGAACGGTGTGGAATCGATCAGAGAAAGTTGATCATGCAGCATATAAGTATTGGTGTGTACTGCAAGGTTCTGGGATCATCAAAATGATAAGAAATTTGGCCCAGTCTTGTAGACTACCGGGTACACAAACATGTGGCATAACAATTTGGTCCTCAATTTTAAGCCGTTACATGTCGTTTTTACAATATGAAGGCACTTGAAGAGCCATGCTATTCAGGGAACCTTTTTTTTTCTCTGATGTTTTTCCGCACTCGCATACTTACAATGAAAACGATCACAAATTATTTGTCACCTCTCCCCAGAACTCAACCTTCTCTTCAAGTGTAAATAAAGTCTCCTGCTCTTTACTTTAACAGAATATTGTTTTTACAAATGGGGGAAAAAGGTGAATCTGCAGGTTCATTGTTGTGAATGTTAATTTGAAAGAAACTAAACAAAGCTAAGTCACTTTCTTGCAAATATGTAGTGAAATTAACACAAATGGGAAGGTTACCCAATGCTTAAAGGGGGTGTAGCATGACGAGACGTGTCATTCCAGTGGCCTGACTAGGGGTACAATACGACTACGGACAAGGCGACGGCAGTATTCACGTGAGTGCAACATACGCGAAACCGAAGCGTGAGGAGAACTTGCGGTCTGTTTTGCGAACGCTAGCGCACGCTGACCGTTATAATCAAGTCCAATGGTTTACGTGCAGTTATCCAAAGTCGTAGATGGCGTTAACCAGTATTTATTTGCCATGCTACACCCCCTTTAACGGGCTTCATCTAGGTACTGCGATGAGGTCAGGTGAAAAGGTCACTCAAAACCGTGTAAAAAGCACCAAGGACATCAATAAATTACTGTTTCCCCAACAGCGGTGCAGTAACCAAACTTATCCTTCCCGAACAGTGAACTCTTGAAATTAAAAGCGAATTTGTAGTGAGCAACACTATAGTTACCAAGCTCTAACATGTGCATGTGGTGCCTTCTGGCTTCATGTGTACTGCTACCATCATGCTGGCAGATGATCAGCAGTAGCAAGAAGTGCCTCTTGGTGATATGAATCTGGAAAGATCCTTGTGTCCCTACTGTCTTTTATTCCAGCTGTGCCAATACCCTCATGGACAAAGCATCTCATCCATGGACACCTAATGCATTTCCTCTACTTGTTGTAGAGTGTGTTTGGTTGGCATGCATCTTCATTGCATTTCTTATATACCAAGTATAAACTCATCTACATGTTTCCACGCAGTTGTAACTATGTTTGTTTTCCTTCAGCCCCAGACTGAAAGCCATTTTGTACAGATCTGGGGGGGGGGGGGGGTGTTTCACAAAGCCTTTTTTCAATGACAAATGACAAAAATCACTGACAAATCTGCTGATAACCAATCAGAAGCAAGGATTTCAGTAGCTTATCACAAAAACTGTCATTTGTCACTGATGGCAAGTTTTGTGAAACACCCCCTGCCTCATGATATGGAGCCTGGTTTGGTCCCCTTAACGTTCCCTTAAACATACAATTAACGTTCCCATCAACGCTTTGGCTCCAGGAGCACCCAGGGCCCTGTCTTACAAAAAGTTGATATCAATCGCAACTCAGGGAAAAAATTAATATTTATTTTTCGGGGGCTACTTTTCAACCTTGCCTGCATGAAAATAACATTCTAAAATATGTTTTGCATTGAACTCTATGCAAATTTAAGGGGGCTCTTTTCTGATTTTCGGGGGCTCTTTTGGGCATTTTGGGGGCTATTTCGCCCTGAGCCCCCGTGTATTTTTTTCACTGTCGCAACTATGTACATAAGAGATAGGAGACTGCAAACTTGCCATTGATTGGAGGACATTCAATCGCAACTCTTTGTAAGATGGGGCCCAGAACTCACATAAGCTGCCTTATCTATTCTGCTTAACTTTGGCTTTTCCAATGTCCTTGATTTCAACCCAACTCTTGAAGCTGCAATAGCCTCTGGATGACATCAAGGTGACGTGTTCCCTGAACTCATCCCTTTCACTTAATTCTTTCAAGGATATCACAAAGCACTTCTATCTACTTCAAAACTTGTACCAATATTTATAATACTTGCAAATGTGTCCAATTAGATCTTAATTAAACTGTTCAACTGCATGGAGTTCTCTCATCTCCAGAATTATGGTAATCATGAACCCCTAAAAAAGAACATTTCTACTGAGACTAGGAACCAACCCATTTGCCTGTATTCTTACATACTAAAACTCATTTTGGTCCGCTCTTCTCATTATCTCATCTCCTTAAGAAGACCAGTGACCACTAAAGTGCATAATATTGCTGACCCTGCAAAGCCCTGCCTACTCTGAGCAAATACCATATTTCACATCATTATTTCTCCGTGTTAAAGTAGTCACTCAAAGAAAATTCATGACAACTGATAATTATGGACAAATTATAGATGGATGGAAAGACTTTCTCTTGTAAAATATGAATAATTTGCTGAAAAATCATTAAATATCATGGAAAGGCATAAATGCAATGCTGTGGCTAGCTGTGTCTCGCATGTGCCGCCACAAATCTTGACACTCTACGGAGGACATCTGAAGGCAGAAAATCTGAATCTCAAAATTAACATTTTTGAGAGATGATTTCTGCGGGCCCCAAACATATTTTGAAGAGGAAAGTTGCTATATTTTATCAGTAATGCTTCCCTTTTGCAATGATATGAATTTTGCATCAATTCAAAACACTTTTGGTTCTTTGGGTGACTACTTTAAATGAAATCATTGTTTTGTTATGCGTTCTCTTGTTAAATCTCATGTACGAGACAATCTTGTTATGCAGAATGTTGAACAAAAAATAAACAATTAAAACAAAGTATCACAATTTATCTAAGCTAACACATTCAGCTCTTCATGGAAGAATGATTCCAAATGTATAAGAATTTCTTAAAGATAAAGGTGAGTTCTGGTCATCCGATTGCATTGTGAAAGAAAAGGTGTGGAATGGATCAGAAAAAGTTGATCATGTAGCATGTAAGTACTGGTTTGTACTGCAAAGTTCTGGAGTCATCAATATCATAATAAATTTGGTCCAGTCTTGGTAAAGTAATAAGCACTGTACACAGAAAGATATGTATGGGACTACACAAATGGCGTTGGGGGCTACTAACCATTATTTCCTAATCTTTATATGCTCATTACTCAGCCAGTATACATTTTCTACCAAAATTATTTGGCAAATGACATTTATTTGTAATCTTGAACATTCAGTGTAATTTTCGTTTGATTCTGTGAGAATTAATTTTTTTTTTTTTTACCAGAACTCACTAATTATTTTAATTATTTTCATCCCATTACTCAGTACAGCTATCCTTATAAGGCATGTTTGTAAGTGCACTTGTTAACAACATGTTTTTTTTTTTCTTAAACAGTCACAGCATCTATCCCACATTCATTAATAGTTGGTTATGAGGTGACATTTTTCAGAGCCTGTGATCGCTTGTTCAAGCAGTTATTACATTGTCTGCCCCTTTTCATATCCCATACTCTATTCTGTAATGAAAGTTATAGTAGTTATAGTACTACTGTCAGGCTTCTAAAAAAAGATGTTGCATTGCCCTTTGTGACCGACCCAAAAATCTTGAAATCTACAGTCGGCTTTCTTTAAAAAAAATAAAAATAACCGTTTTTTAGAGATAACAAAATTTTAAAGCATTCAAAACTGAAAAATATCAGCCCAAAGAAGAAAAGGAAAATGATTTCTGAACGACTGACCAATGTTTTGGATTGGCACCTAAAGGGCAATACAACATCTTTTTTGTTTAGGCCTCATTGCAGTTCTTGAGGATTCCCTAAGCTACAAAGATATTCCTACTGACCCTGCGTCCTGAGCACCCTCACCTGTAGCAGGCTCATAAAGTGCACCTAGGTTGCGCTCCAGCATATCATCAAAGTACTTATTCAGTAACTTAAATACACCTTCATCAGACTCAACCTCAGGAACAGTACCTTCAGAACTTGGACTTGGATGATTCCCTTGTTGACAAGTTTGAATATCAAGAGGCTCAGTCACCCTTGCCTTGTCTGATGGGTTCTTAGCTACGTCTTCAAATCTATCGCATATGCTTTCAGGTCTCTTACTATCACCCTTCTCCTCCGTTTGCTGATATGTCTTACCTAACACCATATATGGTTTGCTCTGTATGCGGACAGGCAGCTTAACAATACCCTTATCGGTGCCTTGCTTGAAGGCAACACCCTCAGCCATGTAATCATTGGAATTATCCCTAGCAGTTTCTCCCACGCTTGTAGGAGATTGAGTGGTCTTACAGGTTACAGATTGGGATTTGAACCTTATCAGACGAGGTGCCTGTCCAAACCTCCCTGGTATTACCACTCCCTGGACACCAGACTTACCCTGCTTGGCATTCGTACATAATGGCATTTTGAGAATATCTATTAGATTGACAGGTGCCTTCCCTTGACTTGTGCTAGGTTTGGAAGTGTTATTGGATGAATTGCATGCAGCATGAACTGGGTCTTGATTAGATGGGGGTAGTATGTACAAAGTGCAAGGAGTAGAGGCTGGGAACTTTACCACTTTTTGGTCGAGTTGGCCCTGATGATGCGTTGCCTGCACTTGCTGCCTGGCACTCTGAGTGCTAACAGTGGCAGTGGTGGGATACACTGTCCCTGCATTGAAGGACAAAGCAGTTCCTGGTGCTTGCACCTTCCTACCGACGACATTACCTTTGACACCGGGATTTGCAACAGTTAAGATGTTTCCCGCATTCTGGTAAGGGAGATACATGAATTGCTGGGTGCCTAATTGCACTCCAACAGATGGTTGTGGTTTTACAACTACCTGCTGTGGAGGGGAAAGAACAGTCTTGTTAGTTAGACCAGAGTGCTTGGTTTCCACAGGAGTACCATCACCTCGAGTCAGCTGCCCGTTTGGTAACAGGAAGAACAGTTGTTCCCTGGGCACTGTAGTACTTACACTATTTCCTGAGGATGCTATTGCAGTAGATTGATTCCCTGATGTTGGCTGCTGAAGTCCTTGTGTTTGAGTCAATGCTTGTTGCACAGAGATACTGCCTGGACTACCTATGATGGTAGACTGAACAATCTTCTGTGACACTGCAGGAGCCAAGGTAGGCATGTTGGTGTCTTGCAGCAAGGATCCCTTCTGACTACCAACTAGGTCAAGGATGGGCATGTCCTCTTGAACACCTGTTCCCGTCTGTCCATGAATGGCATTCTCCATGCTAACGCATAATCTCTTTTCCGGCAATGCAGACGGAGACAGGCCAGACCCATCAGTCATCGCCTCTGAAGAGCTAGCAGATTTGCTTGATCCACTTGAGCTACTCTTGTTTGAGAACCATGGTGACTGCCTCGAGTTCTGAAGCTTCTGGGGCGATTCCTTCTTTTGGCCACTGGCAACCCTCATCTTTTCCACATGCTCAACAATCAACCTCTGTCTTTCTTCTGGTTTGTCCTTGAGAGACTCCCAAACTTTAGCATCTATGGTGAATGAAAACGTTTCTGTCTTTGTCTTTTTATCCGCACTAGGTGCCTCTGAGGCAGCTTGACTGGTCGTCTTGGTTTTCTTTAAGAATGGAACCTTCAATGTTGGTTCATAGGCAGACGTCTTAGTTGCTTTTGTGACAGGAGAGACAGTTGCAGGTTCACTAGTACCAGCTGTACGCTTCAGTATTCGGATAAACTTGTCGCTTGTGTCCCGTTGGTATGCCGAAGCTGAATGGCTACTGGAAGTTTGAAGACCAGTCTTTTTGTACGGTTGGAAACTCCTCTGTGCTTCTCCTGGAACAATGTGCTTTGTCATCTGAAACGTTGAACCTGCCTTCAGGTTCTGCTTGAGTTCCTCATGAACTTTCTTGAGCTTGGTTTCATCCGTCTCTTTATCATCATGTTGAGCATATCTACCTTGAAGAGGAACCCCTTTGACGATCTGAATCTTGGATCTCTTGGCTTTCTTCTTATCCCTGATGACCTCCCTTTTCTGGGCTCTCCTGCGCTTTGAAGACCTCATTGTCCTTCCTGCAATCTCCACACCAGAGTACAGATCCACCTTCACTCCTTGATTCTCTCCTTGATTCTCAGCCCCTTCCGCACCATTGACATCCACACCTGGAACTGCATCCATTGCAACAGATGTTTCGTAATCGCCATCACCATCACTGTTGTCGTACTCTGCGGTCTCATCGCCGTCACTGTCCGAGTCGCTGAGCTCGTCGCTGTCAACGTCTGAGCTGCTCTCAGAGCTGGAGAAGTCATCATCCACACTGCTTGCATCTACCGAGGAGGACTCTACCACTTGCGCTGGCTTCTTGACTTGTAGCTGGTACCAGAAAGCTGCTGCTTCCTACATCATGGGAGAACAAATTATGGAAATCATTGCAAAATTATGTCCTGAAGTATATTAAACTTTGAAGCCCCACTGTCCTACTTGTAGCTACTTGCTCCCTCTATATAGAAAACTTCCCCAATCGGTGCCTGTTGGTCCCACATGATCTTCTTTTTCTTATGTTAGTTGAGAGCTGAGTTAATGAGATAGCCACCTGTCAGTGACCTCGCTCTGTGGTCTAATCCCTTCTGGCCTAGTAGTATTGACGGTCTTTAAGTTATGTGTATTTTACTTTCTTTCTTGTGTCATTTTTGACAGACATGGCTCATTATAAATGTTCACTATTATTATTATTATCATTATTGAATAGTCTTTCACTATGAAAAGAACGTTACATGTACGTAAAGGTCATGCAAGTAAACTGTGATAGAAAATTGCATAGAAGCTTTGGGAAAGGTAAAGGTTTGTTACAAAGTAGACAGAAACTATTGTATTACAAGGTTTGGGGATCATCAAACTTTCTGAGTGGGACAGTCACGTTGTTTGAGACTTCCCTTCCCAACCTTTACATTTTCTCACCCACATTCGACCACCACACTGACCAAGGAAATAACATGACTAGGAAAGTATTGATCCCAAACCTTAGACCTAATGTAATATGAGGTACAGTACATGTTTTATTTTCCTCTTCGTTTCGGTCTCTGCACTTCTAAGGCCATCTTCTTTAAGCTTGTCATCAAAATACAAATGCTAAATTTCTATGACTAATCTGCTCTCAGCCAGTCAAATGCCATTAATTCAGTAGCTTACAACAGTTATTGTAACTTGTTATTGGTAATAAATTTCATGAAACAGGGCCCAGGTCGTAAATAAACCTAAAACACTTGACAGGAAATTTGCTGTTACCTGATTCGGACTAGGATCTTCCTCGTAGGCCTCAAACTCGTAGAAGAGCACCTCTCTGGCCTTGTGAACAACCTTCTGCAGCTTGGCCTCAATCGGCTCAAAGTCTTCGAGCATCTTGGAGAGTGTCTTGTGTAGCTCAGTGGTGCGACCCGACCTCTTGATAGGTTGTACAATCTGAATGGACAGATGAAACCATAGACATTGGATACATTACTAGACGGAAACATAATAAGTAGATAATAATACTGCAAGAAAGAACTTTGACATGACTGTGTAGCTCAGTGGTGCGACCTGACCTCTTGATGGGCTGTACAATCTGAATGGACAGATGAAACCACAGACATTGGATACATTACTATACAGAAACCTAAGGGGATATTAAACAATGCTGCAAGAAAGAACTTTGACATGGCTGTGCTGTTGGAATGGCCTTAAAGTCCTCAAGATTCTTAATGCATGCAAGTAGTCTTAATAGATAGATATTATGATGACCATCTATCATAACAGAGCTCGACTGACTGGCAGAGTTACCATCAATGGTAAGTTTTATGCAACGGGCCCAAGGAAATCAAGGTAAGTAGGCCCGACACCATTTGTGTATTCCCATATCCATCTTTCTGTATACAGTGCTTGTTACTTTACCAAGACTGGACCAAATTTATTATGATTTTGATGACTAAAGATCCTTGCAGTACACACCAATACTGACATGCTACATGATCAATTTTTTCTGATCCATTCCACACCTTTTCTTTCACAATGCAATCGCATGACCAGAACTCAACTTTATGTTTAACCCTACTACGGAAAGTTTATTGTCCTTGAATTCAAGTCCTGGTGGGTGTTTCACAAAACTTGTCATCTGTGACAAATGACAGTTTTTGTTATAAGCTACTGAAATCCTTGCTTCTGATTGGTTATCAGCAGATTTGTCACTGATATTTGGCATTTGTCATTGAAAAAAGGCTTTGTGAAACGGGTCCCTGTACTTACCGTTTTTCTTCCTTTGACGATGGTCTCTTCTTTCTGGGCGAATTTCTCGATGAGCGCCCTGAAGGACTCCACGCTGTCACAGACCAGCTCAAATTCTCCCTCAGGAGGCAGGATCCCTGGGAGAGGTTGCGGGGGAGGAGGGGTGGAGATTCTCCCCATCACCTCCTGGTTCATATCACCCTCTGCTTGGTCGCCATGCACCACATCCACTGCCTCTTCCTTTGGTGCCAACTCTGCTTCGATCTCTGGCAGTGCTTCTCCTTTTTCTACCGGTTCCACATCCATCACTTCTTCCTTCAGTGCCAACTCTGCTTCGATCTCCGTTAGTGCTTCTCCTTTATCTACCGGTTCCACATCCATCGCTTCTTCCTTTGGTGCCAACTCTGCTTCGATCTCTGTTAGTGCTTCTCCTTTTTCTACCGGGACATCGCTTTGTGCAGTCTCCTCTGAGTTCTTTCCAGTGTGGCCTTCAGAAGCATGTCCATCTTGGCCACTTACATGTTCATTATTTGAGCCTCTGTCCGATTCCATCGTAGAATCCACTTGGTTCTTACTGTCTTCTTTGGCACCTGAATCTTGGATGTCAATGGAATTTGAATCATTCATGCCGTCTTTACCAACAACTTCATCCACAGTGTCGATGACATTGCCGCACTGGTCCTCACCAGCGACCTCATTTCCAGATAGCTGGGCAACCCTCTCATCAATGTCCATAACATTGTTAGACTGGTTCTGGTTTAGGCTACTAGGGTCATCACTGGATATGATGTTCTCCAGTCCGTTCGTATCCTCATGGGCTTCAAGCTCACCACGGTTTTGGACCTTCTCTGATGAAGCTTGGACATTGTTTCCATTGATTATCTCCTCCTCTGATTTATTTTGGTCGACTTCTAATATTTTTAAAACGTTATCATCATCTTTGGAGTGAGTCACACCATCATTGGAATGCATCAGATCCTTACCGTCTGCTTCATCTACCTCCATCACACCATTACACAGGGCATGCTTTGAGGGGGATTCCCCTTTCACTTCAATTGGGGAACTCCCTTCTTGAGCCATACCACTCTCACTAGTCCTTCCTTCATCTTTCCCGGGTATACCATCAACATCATCATCAGCTGAAATTGTTTCAAGGTGCTTATCATCAAAGTTAGCTATGCCCTCTTCTGTCTCCTGAGATACAGTCCCATCCTGATTTCCTGTCCTCCCCGGACTACCATCACACACCGCTGAAGACTGTGTTGCATCAGCAGATACCGTCCTATCAGAATTTTGGTCCTTATCTTCAACATTCGCGTCAAGGTTTTGTGAGTCGCAAACAACGTCTGTAGCGCCCTCTGTGTCTCCATCCCCATTATGGCTCTTCTCTTCTTTCTCCTCGTCCTGCTCCTCTACATCAGATCTCTCTAGTTTAGCAGCTCGTCTGCTCGATCGTCTGGTCGGTGTTATGATGGCCATCGGCTTAGCGGGCGTCTAAGGTCATAATGGAAGACAAGAAAAGGAAGATCAAAGTAAGCGGTTTGATTTGTTTCCCGTGGAAATTCAGAACCTTTTCAAAAGACAATAGATATCATAATTTGATAAACTGATTTGTTATTGATGTGCATGTTAGAAAATAAATGTATACTTAAAATAGTGCATGAAATTCAAAGCAATGGCGGTCAAAATTTTTCTGCAGTACTGTTTAATGTAGTTCCCATAAAAAAAAATGTATAGTTACTTATCTTATGTTTATATTTGTGTTATATTTTTTTTTCCCACTCTTTGTTTTTGTTTATCTTTGCTTTACATTATGCTATGAATGCTTTGGGAACTATGCTTGTACAAGGCCTAAGGGCTTCATTTATGTAGTTCCCCATTTCATTTCTAAATTTGTTCATGAATAATTTTGTATCTTTTATATCAATGTAATCTTTAATCAAGAATGAAATAAATGCGAATTCAATTCAATATTCAGAAAGAAAGGGAAAAGGGAGGGAACAGAAGAACAAACAGACTTTCCAATCACTGAATCCCTTTGTTCTCTTTCATTACTCCCATCTACATGTAGCAAGCTCGGTGCCACCCTTGATCACCTTAGATATTACCACTCCAGCAAAGCAAAGAGAGTCAATGCTAATGCGTATTGACCTCTAGCACTGCATACTTGATGAGAGGCAGGTATTTTACACAGATACACACACCACACACTATTGCATAGACTGCACACAATAGCACCGATGTGGCTGATCGGTAAATTTGACACTAGACTTACAATTTGAATTTTTAGATTTTTCTTTTTAATATATGTGTGGATATTAGTGGCCCTCTTTATGGCTAGATGCACACAACAACGCTTCCTCTCAGAACACAATTTTCAAGGGCACATGGGATGGAGAGCTCACCTTCTTAAGAGCTTGAGATGGAGTGGAACCATCTTTCCTGGGCCTCCCCCTGCCTGACGGAGTACCAGCGCTGGCCTGAGAAGGGGTTGCAGTTCCCTCACCAGTCTCCTTAGTTTTACCAGTAGTCTCTGCTTCGCTTTCGGTCCCTGCATCTTTCCTGGGTCTCCCTCGCTTCTTAGGCCCTTCGCTAGCAGGTGTTTTACCAGCTCTGGCAGGTGTGGTACCAGTCTTATCAGTTGAGCTATCATTGGGGTCTGCGTTTTTCCTAGGTCTACCTCTCTTCTTGGGTCCCTCATTGGCTTGAGAAGGGGTCCCAGTCTTGCTCTTCTTTGTCGGGCTCTTTTCTGCTTTTTCCACTTTCTGTATGTGAGGGTAGGTGTAATAGGAGTTGGAGGGGAAACAAATAAAATAAAACTAGAATTACACTTAAAGCGAATAATACATCTTAACAAAAAATGTATGGGTTCAGGTTAGTGACTCCCCAACCTACATTCTAAAATTTTGCTGTGCCCCCATACAAATTTTAGCAACAGCTGCAAAATCGCCAAAAATGAGATTGTTTTTATCTGCTGTCAACAGCCCGACGATCCCTTCCAAAGAAAAATTAATTCATAACTGGAAATTACAGTGCATAATTTTCACTGGAATCCCTTGAAAACTCTGAAAGAATTTAGCTCCATAAAACATTTTTGCACAGGGCAGATCACATATAATCCCATTATTATTACTTAAAAATACATGGCAACATTATCTGCATTATCAGTATCAGCAGCAGCCGCAGGATCGTCAAAGTAATTATTCTAGTTATTATCGTAGAGGTGTTGTGGTCTAGTGGATAAGTCACCTGATTGCAGATCACAAGGTACAGGGTTCGGGTCCCGCTGCAGCACTAATGTCCTTTGACAAGACATTAATCTACATTTGCCACTCTCCACCCATGTGTAAATGGGTACCTGATACAGACCAGCCAACCTCTGGAGTTCAAAAACTGTATTCTTTAATCCCAAAAGTTGTATTTTACTGACAAAAGTTGTATTCTTAAAAATAAACACAGACTGTTACGCGAATCAATGCCTCGTACAGTTCCTACACACAGGAAGAATATATATTGTATGGATCATTGGTTAAATATGCATAATTTCGTCATGACTGGTGAGTTTGATGAACCAATGAATATCCCCAAATTGGTGATATGTGAGATGCTTGTAGGATACTTTACAGGACAGAATAGCCATTTTGCCATTGAAAATGGCAAACACACACAAAATAAAATTATTACAAGAAAACAATTGTATTTTATTGAGGAAAATCATACTTATTTGCTTCTAAAAATCATACGAAATACAACTAAATCGTACTGGTTGGCAGGTCTGCTGATATGCTTAAGCGCTAGTTACTTTGGCAGCTCGGCTATAACCAGGGTAATATGTTTAAGGCGATATATAAATATCCGTTTTTATTATTTATTATTCCAATAAAAAACTAGATTTCCGTTTTACCTTTTTCTTTGGTTTTTCTTCTTTGATCTGAGCCTGGCGGTAGATCCTGAGATCAGTGGACAGGAGGTGAGGAAAGTAGAGGTAGCTAGCCTTCTCGTCATCTTCTCCCAATACTACTACGCGCTGGTCCTCCACGACGCTTGTATCCACACCAAACCATACATCGTAGTCGGTTTCCTGTGGAGCAGCAAAATAAATCCCTCATTAGAGCATATTACTTCAAAACAATGATATAATGCATAATAAAAATAAAAGTCTGAACAAAGATGTTACGTCATAACACAGATATTATGCCCAAAAAAAGATATTGTTTAAAATATATTTCATCAAATATTAGAAATACATTACACCCCAAAAAAATAATTACATAAAAATAAAGATGGTACGAAAATTGGGATATTTATGCAGGAGGGTGTTTTTCCACAAAACTTGTCATTAGTGACAAAGGACAGTTTGTGTTATAAGCTTCTGAAATCCTTGCTTCTGATTGGTTATGAACAGATTTGTCAGTGATTTTTGTCATTTGTCATTGAAAATAGGCTTTGTGAAATGGGTCCCAGAATGGTCTACACCCAGCAACACTTAAATGGCATTTATCCCCCCCCCCCTTTAAAGTAAATGCAAAACCATAACCTCTCACACAATGAAGCTGCAATTGTAAACAGCTCTTTTCTTGGCAAACAAATTTTACGAATAACCAAATTTAATGCTACGTCAGCTGCGATAGGGTTAGAGTTAGGGTAGTTCAAAGCATGAAACTCTCATACCTCTAAGCCATTTGTGAAATTGACCCAAGTTTCATGCATATTGCAAGCAAATGTTTTTAGTTTTACAGTATTTATAAAACATGCCAGGGGAGTGTTTCCCATAGACTAAGATTGACTTTAAGTTGGACTTGATCTATGGCAGGCTGTTCATGCCACTGGTTCCTCTCAACATTCCTGGCATTGGTCTCTCAAGGGACGTACAAATCATGGTCACAAATTCACTTAAATTATGTAGATTTGTGACATCCCTTGAGAGACCAGTGGTGAGAGCAGCCAGTGGCATGAATGGCCTGCCATAGTTCAAGTCCAACTTAAGTCGATCTTAGTCTTTGTGAAACACCCCTGAACAAATAAATATAGCCCTTCGGATGGCTACAGGCCTGGTTTATACTCACAAATAGATGGTCACACATGCCCTTGAGGATCCATACTCTTTCATAGATGGAAAGGTCGTGGTACTGACGACCGGTCAGAGGGTTCATGTCACCAAGGACCTCAAAGAATCGCTCAGGGATGTAGAGATGGCGGGCAACCTGTGGAAAGGGACAATACATTATTATAAATTGCAACCCTTGAGTTCATCCTCATATGAATTTGTACACTTGACCATGCAAAAGGAATATTTGATAATAATAGCTGCAATTTATACATGGCCACTTCCATTTTTTTCCCATGAGATATTACAAAAAAAGCCCCCCTAAATAATCTGAAGGAGGTGTTTATATCAATGAATTGTATGATTTCTTTTCTCTTTTGTTTTATTTTTATTATTATTTTTATTATTATTATTATTATTATTTTTATTTACTTTTTACTCCAACTAGCCTCATTAAATGTATTGCAGGAAAGACGTAAGATAGTTCCTTGTGTTGTGATTAGGTTTAGGGAAAGTCTTAGGGGTGGGTCTAAGGAAGTTAGCAATGGATTGAGTGACACTGACGACAGAGCCATGTACCTCTGGACGATATCCTCTGCTGTGAGCCACATGAGAACTAACTTTGTGTGAAAGAATATGAGTTAACCCTTTCACGACAATCATTCCACATTTTGTGGTTTGGCTCAATAACTTTTGACTCAGAGCCCTGAAGAATGTAAGAGATCCATTTAATATAGAACACACTGCATCCATGTTTGTTACATGACTCTATTGGTTTGATGTCAGGAATACTAAAAAGGAAAAGGAGTTTTAAAATCCTTAAAACCCAAGTCCACTCCAAAAATAACTTACTTTCAATAGAACAAGAATTATCAGACAAACCAATCAAAAAGAGTTTGAGCAAAATCGGACAACTAATAAGAAAGTTTTGAATTTTTAATGACATGAAAAACTTTGAAAATCACTACACAAATTGGCAACTCACTCATGAGTCTGTGATGTATGGTCCTGACTGTCCACTAATTATTTTCTTTATATCGATAATATAAATTTCCTATTTTCACCCTAAGAATCTAATTTCTTCACACCAGCATCCAAGTTAGATTGTTAGTAATATGTTTTTGTGTGGATGCACAAATAAAGAGTAATTTTTGATCCGTAAAATCATGAAAAATTGAATTTTGATAAACTATTTATATAAAAATCAATAATTATGAATTACAATATTTAGAAAATAGTATCAATTCTTCAAAATTCATAAAAGTTTTTGGGAAATGTCATGCACGCAATATGATACAAATCATATAACCTGGGCAAAGGCATGGGGATATCAAGTTTTGGGTGATAAAAAGGGAAATTAATGGGATTAAACTATATAAAGCAATTGATAAGTTGTGAGGACATGACGTCACAAACTGATAACCATCTTGGCAAATTGTGTTGTAATTCTCATTGTTCCATAGTTTTACATACTTTTTCAAAAGTTCATAACTTTCTTATTAGTTATCCGCTTTTGCCTAAACTTTTTTTGATTGATTTGTCTGATTTTTCTGCTTTTATTGAAAGTAAGTTATTTTTGGAGTCGACTTGTCCATTAAATTGGCAAAACATTGACAAATTCAAAATCATTGTGTTTCATTCGAAATCTGCAATTTTGTCAATTCTTTCACAACATTGATGATAATGTATTTTGTTTTCAGAGACATTACATTTAGTTCTAACAGGCTAGCAATAAGAGAAAATACTATTGTTGCCAATTTGAAGAACAACATGTGACCAATTTAGCCCTAAAGATAAATCCTGTCCTGAAAGGCTTTCTGCAGACAATGTGCCATGTCCTACAATGTAGTGAAGAATGATCATCTGGGACCCGTTTCACAAAGCCTTTTTCAATGACAAATGACAAAAATCAATGACAAATCTGCTGTTAACCAATCAGAAGCAAGGATTTCAGTAGCTTGTAACAAAAACTTGTCATTTGTCACTGATGACAAGTTTTGTGAAATGCCCCCCTGGGAAGGCGTTTCACAAGGCCTTTTTTCAATGACAAATGACATAAATCAGTGACAAATCTGCTGTTTACCAATCAGAAGCAAGGATTTCTGTAGCTTATAACAAAACCTGTCATTTGTCACTGATGACAAGTTTTGTAAAACGCCCCCCTGGGCAGGCGTTTCACAAGGCCTTTTTTCAATGACAAATGACATAAATCAGTGCAAATCTGCTCTGTTAAAGGTAATACAAAGTTTTGGGAAATTTTGAAAATTTGGTGGATAGTGAATCTTTACAATTTTGATATATTTGGATGCCCCTGTGGATGTATTATGGGCACTAAAAAAAATTAACCCCTAAAACACTTCCGTTTTTAAAAAAAATTGAATATAAAAATTTAACGGTGCTCCCGGTAAATTTTGATAAATTTCAAATAGCGCCTACGTCCGTACAATGGTAGCTGCGACCATAAAAATCTCAGAATATGTAGTTGTGATATATAATTTCCAAACGGGAATATCTAATCGGTCGATTTTAGTCAAAAAACATTGTTTCATAGCTAAATTGATATCGTGACCTTGAGAGGGAGCTATACAACATAAAGAGTTTATTATTTATAATTTCATAACTTTAGACTCGATTTCAACCGGGACAACGATCAATGAATATTGTAGGAATGCATATGCTTTCAATATGTTAATTTGAACCAAATTCATGACCCCATACCAAAACTTTGTAATACCTTTAACCAATCAGAAGCAAGGATTTCAGTAGCTTGTAACAAAAACTTGTCATTTGTGACTGATGACAAGTTTTGTAAAACGCCCCCCCTGGGACCCGTTTCACAAGGCCTTTTTTCAATGACAAATGACAAAAATCGATGACAAATCTGCTGATAACCAATCAGAAGCAAGGATTTCACTAGCTTATAACAAAAACCTGTCATTTGTCACTGATAAGTTTTGTAAAACGCCCCCCTGGGACCCGTTTCACAAGGCCTTTTTTCAATGACAAAAATCAGTGATAAATCTGCTGTTAACCAATCAGAAGCAAGGATGTCAGTAGCTTATAACAAAACCTGTCATTTGTCACTGATGACAAGTTTTGTGAAATGCCCCCCCTGGACTCACGCTTTGTCTTGTAGCACTGTCAACGTTAAGGAAGGCGTACCAGATGTCTAGCTTCTTCCTCAGCTTGTCTTGCCAGAACTCATAAGGCATGGCAGGCTTTTTAGATACCCTGTAGAAAATAGGAACAAAATGTCCTTATACAGTCAAACCTGTCTATAAAGACCACTCAAGGGAGACAAGAAAAGTGGTCTTTGTAGACAGGTTCCTTTAGTACATGATTCAATGAGAAACTATTTTCAAGGGAAACAACAAATGTGGTCTTTGTAGACAGGTGGTCACTAAAGCAGGTTTGACCGTGGAGTGAAACATGTCTATAAAGACCACCCAAGGGAGCAAGAAAAGTGGTCTTTACAGGCAGGTGGTCTTTGTAGACAGGTGCCTATATAGTTCATGTTTCTTGTCTTGCCAGAACTCGTAAGGCATCAAAGGCTTATTAGAAACCCTGTAGAAAATAGGAACAAAAAAATACAGTGAAACCTGTCTGTAAAGACCACTCAAGGGAGACAAGAAAAGTGGTCGTTATAGGTAGGTGGTCTTTATGTACAGGTTTAAAAGAGAAACCGTTCATTCAAGTGAAACTAAAAATGTGGTATTTATAGACAGGAGGTCTTATGTACAGGTTCCTTCAGAACATGTTTCAATGAGAAACAATTTTCAAGGAAACCAATAATGTGGTCTTTATAGACAGGTGGTCTTTATGTCTTGTGAACAAAATGGTGTGGAATCGATCACGAAAGGTTGATCATCTTGCATATAAGTATTGGTGTGTACTGCAAGGTTCTGGAAGCATAAAATGATAAGTAACTTTGCCCATTCTTGGTAAAGTTACAAGCACTGTACACAGAAATATGTATATGGGGCTACACGAACATGTGGCATGAAAATCTGTCCTGATTTTCATGTTGTTACATGCCATATTAAGAATATGAAGACATTTGAAGAGCCATGCTTTTCAGGGAACATGTTTTATCTGATGTTCTTCCACACTTGCATAATAAGAATGATAACGCTCACAAATGATTTGTCACCTCTTCCCAGAACTCAACCTTCTCTTTAATCTCCAGTACACACTTACCTTTTGCGATTGTATCGCGTTGTGAGAACATTGGTGAAGATACGCGCTACAAGCTGGCTGGACTGCGGGAGGACAAGAGCCCTCTCTAGTTCAAAGAGAGAGAACTCTGGCAGGTACATATTCTCACGGCAAAGCTTGAAGAACTGTCCAATAGCTGGAATCTACAAAGATAGGAATTTTACATAATTAAAAGAACTGATTCTGCAGACAGCTTAGCTTCAGCTAGACTTTACAAAGCACAACATGCATACATGTAATGAAGTCGATGCACCTATTTGACATTGACATTGACATTTCACGTAACCTACTTTGCTATGCGCTATATACTTATTTAATGGCAAGTGGGGCAGCAGCAAAACATTACTGTACAAAAGTCCTATCGCATACTTATCTATCATTGATCATGTGACCTCGTTTAGACCAATAAGATTGCAAGTTTTTAGTATGCAGGATATAATAGGAGTTATGATAGCATTTGCAATCATGTTTAAGCTCTAGCTTAAGATGGCAGTCTCCTGAATTTTTCGATTTTGAAATAAATTGTGACCTTTGCGTTATTTTATTATGTATTCCATATTTTTTCACACTCATTATTATCTGAGGGGTCCACAATTTACAAGCTTTGCTTTTCAGTGGACCTCTCCATTTCCTCAAAATATAAATGCAGTTAAATTTTAAAATTCCTTTTTTGTCTTCCTAAAATGTATAAATTATTATTAAGATTTGTTTATTACAAATGTAACTATGTTTTGTATACATTTTTACATTGTATTCGTTATTATGTATTGTATTTTGTTGGAAATGAAAAAATAAAAATGAATGAAATGAAATTTAATTATTTTATTGATTTATATCATGATATCATTATATATTTATCCTAACTCTTGTTGATAATGTAAATTTATGTGTACCTAGTAATAGTACGTACTTTGTTTATTTCTCTCTGATGTGTTGAAAAATGCAGAAATCAAATCAAATCAAACAAACAGATTGTACATATTCTTTTCAGATCAAATTAAACAGACAGGTTCCATCTTTAGTGGTAATCAAAAGCAAGATGAAATTAGAGGGAAATAATGCTTGCACAGGCTATTGGAAAATTTCCATCATCATTAATGGCAGTGAAAAAAATACACGGGGGCTCAGGACGAATTTGCCCCCGAAATGCCCAAAAGAGCCCCCGAAAATCAGAAAAGAGCCCCCGTAAATTTGCAAAGAGTTCAATGCAAAACAAATATTAGAGTGTTACTTTTATGCAGGCAAGCTTGAAAAGTAGCCCCCCCCCCCCCATTTTTTAATTTTTTTTTTCCCTGTTCCATCACCATCAATGGTCTCAAAAGAGGGAAAGGAGGTGTCTTCAATAAAATTTAAAAAAATTGCAAGCAGGTCAAAGATCATCGTCATCATCATCATCATCATCATCACCACCACCACCATCATCATTATCACCATCATCACCATCATCTTCATCATCACCATCATTAAGACCATCATTTTCATCATCATCATCACTGTCATCATTTTCATCATCATCATCACTGTCATCATCATCATTATCATCATCATCACCATCACAATCATCCTCATCATCATCATCATCATCATCATCATCACCATCACAATCACCACCACAATCACCACCACAATCATCATCATCAAAGGTTTCGAAGAAGGGAAAGGAGGTGTCTTCAATCAAAAAATTAAAAAAAACTTTGCAAGCAGGTCAAAGATGCTGTGAAGAGTATTCTGAGAAGAAACCATGACCTAGCATTGTTTATCCATCCATGAATGAACCTGCATTCAATCAGCAGATGTATGAGATTTATTGTATTATTACCAATGCATCTAATGTATGTTAATTATGCATTCAATATATTTGTTTAATTTTGTTTATTATCTGTATAAAATTATATACACTTAAAATATTTGATATATATATCAAACCATATTATGTTCATGAAAATGTATGATGACAAAAAGAAAAAAGATGCAGAAACCAATTAATCAAATCAAGTCAAATCAAATCAAGAAAGTCTCGCACCTCCCACATGGACTTCAGCTGGGTCCCGAGCGGCTCCTTCAGGAGTTCATCCTTCTCCCATTCTACCAGTCGCCTATTCAGTCTCTCCAGCTCAGCTTTCCTTTCTATTATCCTCTGCCTTCTCCTCTCTTCTTCCTCCTTCTCTAGTTTTTTCTCCATGAAGTTTGCAACGGGTGACATGGTGTTCCTGTTTTCAAGGATTCTCTGACTGACCCTCCTCCCTGTTGACAGAAAATTTTGAGTATTAGAAATGCAAGAAATATGATCCAACATTTACAACGTTAAATCTGAGATGCATGGCCCTACATGTTGTCAGTGTCTGTGGTATGGTGTAATATTGAAGCCCTTAAAAAAATTGCGCTTCAAAATGATCAAGAAGTGCCTCAAAAAAGTAAAAATCTTTGAGTCACCGGTTTTACCATACCAGTACTCGTTTTCCCCAATAGACTGTGGTATTATGAAATTTCGATTTCCTATCATAAATATCTTGATAATCAGACAGGCGATCGGCTTGTAAAAGTCATGGGGTTCCTGACTGACATAAAGGTTTATAATTATCATTGCAGCCTGAGCTAAGTCCAGGATTTTGTTTCAGAATCTGAGACAAAGTTACCGGATCCCTTAAAGTCAAAGATATAAAGTTGAGGAAGTGATTCAGGTTCTGGGGTGTGTTTCATAAAAGCTGTGCGTAAAGTTACAAATTACTTTACAAATGATTTGAATATGAAGAGCCAAATGAGATGAGAGTTAGTGTAGGAAAAAATGACTGCAGAACACTTGGTGCCATAGCATAAACCTGTGAAATATGGTGACAAACTGTCTTTTCATTTTATTACTAGAAAACTGTCCATTTTCACATGATAGTCATTTGGTTCACCTACAGAAAATTGGTATTTTTTGCATTCATGAAATCTATATCAGAAAAAATTATCCCTACCCTAACAATTTGCTTCACCCATAAGAACTTGTGTGTGCACTGTGAAGTGAATAGTATAGTAATAATATTGGGTTCTTGTATAGCGCTCATTTCTGTTAGACTCACCAATCCTGGCACTACCGATTATCACCGTGGCTTAAGTACAGTTGCCATTAGCCTGGCGCTCTGGCATTTCAAGGAATTAATTCCTGCTAGGTACCCATTTACAGCACCTGGGTTGGGTGTTGCAAATGTAGATCAATGTCTTGCCAAAGGACATTGGTTCTGTGGCAAGACTCAAACCGCGAACATTGTGATCGACGGTCCGGTGACGTAGCCACTGAACATGACACCTCTTTGTATAGCACAATGGTGCAGTGAATAGTACAATGATTGGGAGGGTCACGGGTTAGAACACATTATAAGATGACGACGTGGATCCTAATCAAATGATTGGTTAAAAGCATACACGTGACCAGGCATTTATTTTGCCTAACACATAATTTGGATAATGACCGGTCATTATCCAAATCATGTAATAAAACATCATTTTACAAAAAAAAAAAAAAATCTTATAAAACAAATTTAAAAAAAAGAATTCTGTTCGGGCATTAGTAAAATTACCCACACTCAGTACCTTCAAAACAGTCCAAACACCCTCAGCCATCGCCTCGGGCGTGTTAGACTGTTCCAAATGTACCTTGTGTGGGTAATTCTTACTAATGCCCTCACTGCTGTGTATTATTTGTATACTAATATTGTGTTCAGACTAGCCTAGTTCACACTTACCAAATGTTGAGCTCATGGTGGTATCTTGCTCTGCAGTTTGCGGGTCATTGTTTCCATGGAAATGAGTCTTGTCTCGTATATGCCTGGAAGAATAGCGGTAAGAGGTTAAAACATTACTTATCCCCGTATAAACATACCATAAACACAAATGAAAGTATTATAATCTTAGGGAGTTTTCATTACAGAGTGTGTGTGTATTGGGTTTTTACAGACGTGTATCAATCAGATATGATTATTTACGTCTGGGGACCGACCTTTAAACGGCACCATCCGAAAGACATGACTCAGTTTCGAACCTGCGTTTTCGACTGAATCAGTTTGTAACTTCCAATTTTAGCTGGATTACAGGCGCAAGCCACAACGCCTAGTCATTACAGGATACAAGTACTGGGTATTTATAAAAAAGAGCGAGAGAGTGCTCAAAGTCACAGGCACTCTGCAGCATTATAACCATCACAAAACCAATGGGTTTGAGTTGAGTGTAGCATTCAAAAGTGATCCGCAGCCAGCCGTATGTTAACATTCAACAGAAAGTTCTAACGTATATGGCCAACATAAATATCATGGGGTGAGGTCAAATTTCATATTCAAAAGGTAGGCCATTCATTAGGCCTAAAAACAAAGATGTTGTATTGCTCTTCGCGACCGACCCAACATTTTTTTAATCTAAGGTCGGCTTTTTGTTTTTACTGTTTTTTCGAGAAAAAAAGAAGAAAAAAAAAGTTTGAAAAAAAAAATAATTCTGACCCATGTTTTGGCACGTAACGGGCATTACAACATTTTTTTTGTTTAGGCCTAATTATAACAAACCATTTATTGTCTCTTGAAAGCCAACTCAAACTCTTTATTTACCTTGAGAGTTGAGTGAGCTTCTGCTCAAAATGACACTCCATCATCTGTGCCTGCCGAGAGACGATCTGCTCGACTTCATTGCAATTCGACTCAAACTATCCTTGTATGGAAACTCAAACTCTATTCTAACACCAAGTGAGCTACTCAAAAAGGCCCTGTACATGCCACAACATATTCACTTAAAAACCGTCAATACTACTGGGTCAGAAGGGATTAGACCACACAGCGAGGTCAATAACAGGTGGCTATCTCATTAACTCAGCTCTCAACTAACATAAGAAAAAGAGGATCATGGGGGATCAACAGGCACCGATTGGGGAAGTTTTCTATATAGAGGGAGCAAGTAGCTACAAGTAGGACAGTGGGGCTTTAAATAAACTTAACCCTTCTTTCCTACCTTGAGAGTTGAGTGAGCTTCTGCTCAAAATGGCACTCCATCATCTGGGCTTGACGAGAGACCATGTGCTTGAGTCCATTGTAGCGGTAACAGTTCTCAAAGATCTGCCTGACATCAGCAACGAACTCAGTGATGGAGGTATACTCCACATCCTCAAACTTTTCTTCAACTAAAGGAAGAAACAAAACAAGTGGGAGCAAAGTCAGCTTTAATATTGTACATGTGAGGAGCTGGTAGCAGTTCTCAAAGATCTGCCTGACATCAGCTACGAAATCAGCGATGGAGGTGTACTCCACATCCTCAAACTTCTCTTCAACTAAAGGAAGAAACAAAACAAGTGGGAGCAAAGTCGCATTAATATTGTATATGTGAGGAGCCGACACCATGCATTTCAGTTGGTACACACACAACTGGTGGCATGTCATTGTCAACAAATACTGCACTGTGTTTTAAAGCAGAGTATGATGCCTTTTAAGAGAAGTTTGAGACTATGATTTATGTAGACGGTAGTGGTGCATCATGAATCCATTCACAACTTTAAGAACAGAAGCAGCTTTTGCATAATACTCGCTGATGGCAAATAGTCTGGCAGACTAGAGTTTAAAGCGCGTCTGCACTAGTTTGGTCAGGGGGATTAGACCTCCCTGCATGGTCACTGACAAGTGTTATCTCACCAAATCAGCTCTCAATTAACCTAAGAAAAAGGGGATCATGGGGGACCAACAGGCACTGATTAGGTATTGTTGGCTATATAGAGGGCGCAAGTAGCTGTAAGTAGTACAGTGGGGCTCATGCCTTGCCATTTTGTGGAACCATTTGTGACTATACTACTACTACTAATAATAAGTATTTTTTAACCCAGGGTAACGTCATCAGTACCAATACTGTTCTCCCTGAGGAGCCTGTAATCATATCACTACTCCGGCTATAGCCCAACCCTCAAAGACACTTACTTCTGGTTAGACACATAGAGACACTTACTTCTTGTTAGCCACATGGGTGTCTTGATCCTGTCATAGTAGTCCGGCAGCTTGAGAGCCACAGGGTCTACTCGGTCCATGAAGGGCCAAGCAAAGCTCTTAGACCGCTCTCCCATCAAATCTACCAGGATTCTATACCCCTGCTGGAGTTCTGGGGTCAGCCTCCGCAGGACGGCCAACGCTGTGGGGTCGTTCCCCTTATTCTGTAAAGGGCGAGACAAAATAGACGAAATCCATCATTATCATGATCAAAAGTAGAGTCATTATCATTTATCAAATTCAAAGGATCATGCAGCCACAGGGTCTACCCGATGTATGTAGGGCCAAGCAAAGCTCTTGGAGCACTCCCCCATCAAATCAACCAGAGGGACGTTTCACTAAACTTGTGATCAGTGAAAAATGACAGTTTTTGTTATAAGCTACTGAAATCCTTGCATCTGATTGGTTATCAGCAGATTTGTCACTGAATTTTGCCATTTGACATTGAAAAGAGGCTTTGTGAAACAGGTCCCAGGATTCTATACCCCTGCTGGAGCTCTGGGGTCAGCCTCTGCAGGACAGCCAACCCTGTGAGATCATTACCCTTATTCTGAAAACAAAAAAGTGAGATAAACTGGACAAAATTTATCATTAGGGCGCTTTCCCAAACACGTCGGCAAAGACGACGGTAACGCGAGCGGAAAAAACAATCTGCGCTTGTTACGATCGTACGCGGCCAAGAGCTGTGTCGCCGCGATTCTCCTGCCGTCTTCTTTGCGAAAGCGCTCTATTATCAACGTAAAGAAATTATCATTTATCAAATTCAAAGGATCATGCAGATTTTGATAACTTTTGAGGACTGCCATTTACATTACTGGTAAAACCCATCATTAAACTTCCAAGTTTGCTCATTACGATTTTCTGCGAGACTTCTCCCGCTTTGCATGCGATCACATGGAAACGAGGAGAGTGGTGTGACAAAGATCTGAACCTTTCACTGATTTTTTGAAACCATTCAATGAAATTTCAAGAAACGACACTCCAAAGGTGGATGTTTTGAGTATCAACAACCGACGAAACACTGAAATGTGCTTGCAGCGTAAGTGCAGTTCATAATAAACAATACATTAAAACCTGTTTATAAAGACCACCTAAGAGAGATAAGAAAAGTGATCTTCATGTACAGGTTCCTTTAGTACATCTTTCAATGAGAAACCATTTTCAAGGGAAGCAAACAATGTGGTCTTTGTAGACAGGTGGTCTTTCTATACAGATTCCTTTAGTACATGTTTCAATGAGAACCATTTTCAAGGGAAACAAACAATGTGGTCTTTGTAGACAGGTGGTCTTTCTATACAGATTCCTTTAGTACATGTTTCAATGAGAACCATTTTCAAGGGAAACAAACAATGTGGTCTTTGTAGACAGGTGGTAGTGCTGTAAGTCGGACGCTATGTTCGTGTTCGGTTCGGTTCGGCAGAGTTCGGCGATTTTTCACCCGAACTTGGTTCGGTTCGGGGTTCGGTAATTTAATAGCAAGCAGCGTTATAGCGACGGCGGTCGGCACTGGGCAGGCCGGTCGCCCTGCCTGGCCCGACCGGCACGGAGGACTTCTGCACACTGCTTCCGACCAGCACAAATTTCACATTAAAAAACTGCTCTAAACGTAATTATTTGTGAAGAAAAATACTACTTACATTCGTATTTCCGTCTTGAATCATGTTTTATTTTCAATTTTAAAAGAATCATGTTTTCAATTTGTCAATAAATGATATTTTTAAAAGATTTCCCGAGACGGTTGTTGTCTAATGTTAGAGTCATAAAAGGTGCCATCTTGAATAGAGACTTTCAGGCTCGCCAAGAACTGTTTTTTATAAGTTTTTATTTTCAATAGGAAAAATATAAAATCCCTATTTTTCCAGAATAAATAAATACCATACTATAATATATATTTATTTCATTATTTATATTGTAAAATTTGTCCGATATGGTTACAATTAAAATATCAATTTTTTGTTCGATGGGTTTGAGCAAATTGAGCTGAACTTGTTTTGATCATGCACATGTATTCTTGTTCATGGCTTGCGATCGCGACGTAGCGTGGTCAGGATTTGGGATTTAAATGGCGCCAGTGAAGTTGCGTCCACCACTGGATAGGCATAAATCACAAGGGCGGAAAATGGGAAAAAAGTAAATATAATATGAGCAATCATAACATGAAAATTAGGTACAAAATGAAAAGGTTATTAGCTTGCAAAAACGTTTACATTTTTTTTGCCGAACATCCGAACCAGGCCTTTGCGTTCGGTTCGGTTCGGTTCGGTTCGGAAGTGCCATGTTCGGCGAACTTCCGTTCGGTTCGGCGGTTCGGCTACAGCACTAACAGGTGGTCTTTCTATACAAGTAGTCACTAAAGCAGGTTTGACTGTTCTTACCTTCTTAGATTGACTGGATGCGTCCTCAGAGCCCACCTGGTAGGAGATGTTCAAATGCACCGGCTTGTAACTTTTAGAATCTGTGACCAAGATAAGAATAACAACAAAATCTTCATTTATTAGCATTCCATTAACGTGGATATCCGATATTATCACAATCATGTTTCATATATATCAATTTATATTAATTGTGTTTAAAATCTAAATGTTACGAGATAGGGAAACTAAATGCTTTGCCCATTCTCTCTTTTTTATCTTCTTTTTTTCCCTACTCATCCATGTATGTACTGTAAATTCAATTTATTTTATGTATGATGTGCAATATTGTGAAGTTTCCATTATTATTATTGTTAATTTATTCCTTGAACTAATTTGTGATCATTTCCACTTTCCATATTGATGTATTTGTAATTTCTTTTTATGGAATTTTGACTCAATAAACCAAAATGAATGAATGAATGAATGAATTACGGTTAGCATAACAGGTGCATGTCTGTAATGTAAAGATGCGTGTGCGGTGTTGCTTTAGCGCATTAAAACACACAAACTTGAACTAAACTGTAGCAGAGCTCTTGTCAAGAGTGAATATGTTTGTCTCTCTAAATACGCAAGTTACAGTAACGGACATTGGTATTTTATTTTTGGCACCAAGAAAGATGAGAAAAAAGAAATCCATATCCCTTTTTATAGACAAAGCAGAACAGTGGTTTGTTACTTCAAGAATCTGAAAATCAAATATTCTAAAAAATTTAGCACCTAGAAAGATGAGAAAACAAAACTTCATATTGCATGTAGACAGGGAAAAAATACACAGGGGCTCGGGACGAATTAGCCTCCGAAATGCCCCAAAGAGCCCCCGGAAGTCATAAAAGAGCCCCCAAATTGTGCATAGAGTTCAATGCAAAACAAATTAAAGAATGTTATTTTCATGGAAGCAAGCTTGAAAAGAAGCCTCCAAAAATGCGAACGTAATTTTTTCCCTGCATTTAGACATTGCAGTAGAGTGGTTTGCAACCTCAAGAATCAGGAACTTCTAAATTTCTGACATTTCTGATAAGACTGCAAGAATTCTAGAGCGAGTATCTTAGTGGTTGTGTGCCATCTGACCATCCCATCTACATAGAGTACCTGAGAATCTAATTATGTTCAACCCTTGGACTTTAAATGACTTTAAGTAACACTATGCATTACTCAATAAAATACTAGCCCAAAGACCAAATGCTATTAAATTTTCGTCTGATTCGAATCACTCAAATAAAATTACGGTATATAGCATTCTCTAACAATTTTCATGAAAGAAGCCGAAATAGTATTATGTACACTACATGTATAGGAACTAATTTGAACGAAATGTGACTTACATGTATGTTGCCTAAGATGGATGTAAATGAGAAAGCAAAGAAAATTGGGATCTGTCATTATGTTGACCCGCTGACTACTGAATTATCTAATTCTCATTTAAGCTTAACACCTTGGACCAGTTTCTCAAAGTCGTCATAAGTCTAAGTTTGCGGACATCCCATAGAAACGTGTGTCAATAGGCCATTTTCGTAATCTAACCAAATTTAATGCATATAAGTGTGTGTGAAGTGCCTCAATACATATTGTTTCATTCACCTGAAAAGAATAATAGTCTTTCACTAGACAGAATCCGAACTGCATACATAAGTTGTTGTCAGGTTGGACAAACATTATGGCTTGACCTACCTAGCAATAAGGCTGTGCACAACAGTGTAATGAGGTACCCGGGTACACTCCCAGGCTTACAAGCGAATACTCGAATATTCGGACACCATGTTTTTTTATAATTTTTTTGATTTTTTTTTTGATTCTATTTATTTTTTATTATTTTTTTTTGCCACTACCATACCACTGAGGCAGTATCCCAGTTCTGTCGCCGAAAACGCATGCAATTTTACTTATAGTTGCAGTTGAAGGCGCCTATTTAATAATAATAATAACAGTAAACAATGCTGTTTTAAAAACCAAAGATGGCAGAATAATTCATTTTCCTCCAAGTCCAAACAGAAATCCAGACATTTGGTCCCAGTTTCTGAGTGGTGAGTTTGACAGTGCTTGAGTTTGGAAACATTTTTACCGACGGCACCATGCCAGTGGCCGCCGCTCACCCAGGCACTGGTAAGCATCGGCCTGGACAGATTTTTTTTTTTTTTTTTTTTTGCGGCCGAATATTCGGGTACGAGAAATCGTACCCGAGTAGTTGTCAACTGTGCGGGTACTCGAGCATTCGAATACTAATATATGCAGTTTGCATTCTGAGTGTCTATTGAAATACTGTTATTCTTATCAGGTGAATGAAACAACTTGTATTGAGGCACTACACAAAGGCTTATGCATTAAATTTGGTTACATTACGAAAATGGCCTATTCTATAAAAACATGTTTCAATGGGATGTCTAAGAAGTTAGACTTATGACGATATTGAGAAAGTAAGCAAAGGCTTTAAAGTTGTTTTTACCTGATCCACTTTGAACCCATACTTCCTGTTTAGGTTCTAACCCCTCCTCTTCTTCCTCCTCCTCCTCCTCAAGCGATGAGTCTTCATCGTCTGTTTCCATAGTAACAGAGTCAGAATCCATCTTTTCAGAGTCCTTCTGCTGCTCTTTAGACACCTAACTCTGTATCTGCCTGAAGAAAAGAATGAATGAATTACAAGGTTGCCTTCTCTTTTTTTTTTTTAACCCATTGCCAATGGGAACGAGGTGAGTCCTGTATTAAGTATATGGGAATGAGATAATTTAGGAGTCAACGTGTTAATGGAGGGGGGGGGGGGGGAGGGGAGGAGCTAGAAACAGTAGAAGACAGGTTCACCCAAGCAAGTTGCAAGTCGCACAATAGAAAAGGAATCTTGAATAAAGATGTCTGTCTGTTATGATGTTAAATTGATAATTATGATTTTAAAATCCTCTTCAAAAAGTTAAGATTTTCTCTCTCACATTTCAACTTGAACATTGCTGATGCTATAAAATTCTTGTTCAAGCAGCAGGAATAACGTTACACATGATTTGTCATCAATCGTCTAAATTTGTCTTGCAAGCACATCTTCTGGCGCTTTTGTAGTTCCGTATCCATTTTGTTTGCAGTTTAAAAATCCATTCTTAGCAAAGGAATTTTAGCCCAATTTTTAACTAATTTTAATCATAATTATATATTGCATTTTCCACCTGAATTTGGATTACATTAGACATCGGGAAGCCTTCGTTTAGGGCTTCGATGTCGACGGCGTCGCTCAGTACCGTCTCTACACTGTATAGTCCTGTACCTCAAACTGAAGCTATGCGTACAAAATTATGCAGACTTCTCGTATGGTTTATGGTATCGCGCATACGAGAAGTCTGCATAATTTTGGACTGATAGCTTCAGTTTGAGGTGCAGGACTACAGTGTAGAGACTGTACTGAGCGACGACGTCGACATAGAAGGCCTAAACGAAGGTTTCCTGATGTCAGATATGATCCAAATTCAGGTGGAAAATGCAATATATGATTATGATTAAAATTAGTTAAAAATTGGGCCAAAATTCATTTGCTAAGAATGGATATTAAACTGCTAAAAAAATGGATACGGAACTCCACTAGCACCCATCTTCTTAGTCTTGCCCCTCTCTCCATTGAATGTCAACAGCACATTTGTAGCTGCCTATTCTTTTGCTCTCATTTTGGTAGCTTTAAATTCTATTCTAGATGCAGCACCGACTTGAAATTTTGAAATTGACTTGCCTTAGACTCTAGATCTAGAGATTTAGAGTTAGATCTTGATCTTAACACTTACACGCTACAAACAAATTCATCGATTTATCACACAGGCAGAAATAATCTTTTCAGAATCTCAGAATTGGTGTCCAGACATCGCTTAGAAGCACTAATGTTTAGTCTCATGTGCATTTTAATTTGATGCAAGGTTCTTTTGGAGGCATAGTTTTAAAGGTTTGTGTAGAGTTCAGGTTTTTGACGTATAGTGGGAGGCTGTTCCAGTCTCTTAATGTAGACCTATTTGGTATGAAGCTGTTCAAGTACGCGTTTGTTCGGCATTGTAGTGGGACTAGACGATTTGTATTCTCTCTCACAGATCTTGGTGCTTCATGAACATAATCGGGGATATCCACAGCAGCTTTGACAGCCTAAATACCCGACAACACTAACAGTGATTTCTTCAACTACCTTAATCTAAAATTTAAAACTCTTGACTTGACTTTGAGTCTCAACTTTATAAACATGATAAACTTGCTAAAATAACAATTTAATTTCTAATCTTTGTCATTTTTTCTGAATAAATAGTTGTGAATTCTGAATTGAACAAAAACTGTTAATTTAACAAAAATTGTGAATTCTGACCCGGAATAACACAACATTTTCACGTCATTTCAACACACATGCACTGCAAAATTAATGTAGCAGAATATAAGGGACCCTTGCCAACTTTTGCTGCCCGGTGCATCGGGGAGGATTGAAGGACCAATTTGCATCTGCTCAACTTATCTTTCCCTGCAAAAGCCCAGCTGCTCCATTCATTACCCATGCAGATTTGACTTCTCACACACATGTACTCTCCTCACTCGCGCGGGCACACAAAGTCCATCACAAATTTCTTCAAACTTTCTCAATGATTAGGACCCAAAATGAATTGCAAATTAAGTAGACTTACCTAAATGACGCTTTTCAAAACAACAAAATTAGGGATTTGAAGCTAGATGTTTCAAGTCTCATGAAATTTCTCTGAAAAACATGATTTTCTCAAAGTAATTTCGCCGGTTCGTCGTCGAACCAGTGTCAGTCCAAGTTTCGTTTGCGCATGCGCTAAATTAACGAAGCTTGATTTTGTTCCTTTCTTTATTGCGCCCTCTTTCATTTGAAAACTTATAGATGATCATAAATCTTGCCATAATAATTACTCTTGGAAAACATTAATTCTATTTCATTTTTTCAGCCCTATTTTTCTCTCATTCTCCATCAAAAGCATTTTTGGCAGAGCCCTCGGCTTTACTGGACATTTTGGTAACACACATGGTATCCCTCCGTTCATGGAGTGGGAGGGGGGGGGGGGGGCGGGGGTCAGCTAGTAATTTACTTTTTACGACGAAATTATTGTTAGTTGTATATTGCATTTAAGTGCTCCTAAATATAGAAACAGGGACAATTAGGGCACGATATAACCCCCCTCCCCCTTATATGTCTATCATCTTGTTTCTTCAATTTTGTTTCTACTTTTTTTTTGTACTTCTTCTTTAGAATCATTTTCTTGAACTGGATGACTTCGGTAATTCGTGGATCAGCTCTTTTCTGTTGACGCTCTATTCATAAAATTAGTTGACTTTCTCTATTCAAAATTAAATCCTTTTATTCCATTGCATGCGGATGAATTGTACAGGGGGTTCAACTCCGCTTCTGCATCCGTCTAGCCTGAGGGTCAAAAAGTGTACGCTGCTTCCACTTATCATGTATTAGCCTATGAAGACGACACATAGGAATTTTGGCCTGCGCGCAGCATGTAAAAAGTGCAAATTAATTTATTTAATATTCATGATTTTAGTTGAGCCTCTAGTCCATACGGAAGATGATCGAATCTCTTTGAATTATACTTGGGGCGCCCCCATGCATGTCGCATCCCTGTGAGTGTTATATGATTTTGCCATGATCACGAGATAAAATAAATTGTTTTCTGAAATTCAAAATGTCAAGGGATTCAACTCATACATGCACAACTGACTCTTGAAGCAGCTATCCCACCTGGGTAATGGGGCATGGGGTGGGGTGGTTACAGGCCTCGCGTTTTTCAAATTAAGTGGGAGGGGGGGGGGGAGGCCGCCGGGCTAAAGTATTTACGATCAGGTAGAGCGGAGCGTAAATTAATTGGCGTGGGGTCCAGAGGAAAAGCTCTGGCGGGGATTCAGGGAGCGGAGCCCCCGGAAGCTCAGGGGTTTAAATAATTACAGACAGATGAGCATATTTTGATAGGTCTACCTTATTTGTGACACTGGCAGGTCGTTAAAGATGAAGTTGAGTTCTGGTCATGCGATTGCATTGTGAAAGAAACGGTGTGGAATCGACCAGAAAAGGTTGATTATCTAGCATGTAAGAATTTGTGTGTATTGCAAGGTTCTGGAATCATCAAAATGATAAGAAATTTGGCCAAGTCTTGGTAAAGTTAAAACACTGTACACAGAAAGATGTATATGGGACTACACGAACACGTGGCGTAAAAATCCTACCCCAGAGTTTTATGATGTTACATGACATATTTAGAATATGAAGGCATTTGAAGAGCCATGCTTTTCAGGGAACATGTCTTTCTGACGTTCTTCCATACTTGCATAATAAGAATGATAACGCTCACAATTTTTTTTTCACCTTTTCCCAGAACTCAACCTTCTCTTTAATGCCGTAAATGATGGAAGCAATATTTCATTCGATTTCAGACACTTGCTAAAGATTAGAACATTTAACGTTGACCCTTTATTTTTACGAGTACATTTTATAGGTGAAACATACATTTCTGTTTAAAATATAATAGAAACGACTGAAGCGAGTACCATATCTACGGAAGTGTTAAAGTGCCATTCTACTTGACGACATGACGAGATATTTCATCTTGTCAAGTCGACTTACTATCCATATCATGTCGACATGTAAAGATATTTAACCTACCATGTCGACTTATCAACTTTTATTTCTAAGTCGACATGGCGAAATAAATTATCTTGCCAAGTCGACTTCACAAAAAGTTCATGTCGTCATGGCGACATAAGTTGTCTTACCAAGTCGACTTCTAAAAAATTACATGTCGTCATGGTGACATATATTATCTACGGAAGCGTTAAAGTGCCATTCTACTTGACGACATGACGAGATATTTCATCTTGTCAAGTCGACTTAATATCCATATCATGTCGACATGTAAAGATATTTAACCTACCATGTCGACCATCAACTTTTATTAGTCGACATGGCGACATAAATTATTTTGCCAAGTCGACTTAAAAAAAAATACATGTCGTCATGGCGACATATATTATCTTACCAAGTCGACTACCCAAAAAGTAATGTCGACATGGCGAAATAAATTATCTTGCCAAGTCGACTTCACAAAAAGTTCATGTCGTCATGGCGACATGTATTATCTTGCCAAGTCGACTTTACAAAGCATTTCATCTCGTAATAGCGACATAAATTATCTCACCAAGTCGACTTCCCAAAAAGTATATGTCGTCATGGCGAGATATGTAGTGTGACGACTATTTCATGCAGCGCGTGTATATGGCAAACCCTTTGTGTAAAAACCAGATAAACTCTGTTTTTTCAGATAAACTCCGTTTATCAGAAAGTTTACCAACTGATAAACTGAGTTTTTCTGATAAACTCAGTTTATCAACTGATAAGGCGCGTGTAAAAACCAGATAAACTCTGTTTTTTTCAGATAAACTCCGTTTATCAGAAAAACTGTGTTTATCAATGATAAACTCAGTTTATCAACAGATAAACAGAGTTTATCAGTTGATAAACTGAGTTTATCAGAAAAACTCAGTTTATCAGTTGGTAAACTGAGTTTATCATTGATAAACTTAGCTTTTCTTGATAAACTGAGTTTATCTGAGAAAAACAGAGTTTATCTGGTTTTTACAAAAAGGGCTTGCCATATACGCGCGCTGCATGAAATAGTCGTCACACTACATATCTCGCCATGACGACATGAACTTTTTGTGAAGTCGACTTGGCAAGATAATTTATTTCGCCATGTCGACATTTTTTTTGGGGTAGTCGACTTGGTAAGATAATATATGTCGCCATGACGACATGTATTTTTTTTAGAAGTCGACTTGGTAAGATAACTTATGTCGCCATGACGACATGAACTTTTTGTGAAGTCGACTTGGCAAGATAATTTATTTCGCCATGTCGACTAATAAAAGTTGATAAGTCGACATGGTAGGTTAAATATCTTTACATGTCGACATGATATGGATATTAAGTCGACTTGACAAGATGAAATATCTCGTCATGTCGTCAAGTAGAATGGCACTTTAACGCTTCCGTAATTATCTTACCAAGTCGACTACCCAAAAAGTAATGACGACATGGCGAAATAAATTATCTTGCCAAGTCGACTTCACAAAACGTTCATGTCGTCATGGCGACATGTATTATCTTGCCAAGTCGACTTCACAAAAAAGTTCATCTCGTAATAGCGACATAAATTAGGGACTTTTAGAATTGCACGTTGACAGCCTTGACTGCAACGTGTGACGTCATTTTAAGGCACTGCGCATGCGTCACGTCGTCTCAGTCGGCGATCGAGAATGCGTCAACCTTGATTTTCCTAAATCGAGTACGGTACTAGTATATGCCGCGTGCGCATAAACTATACAGTTCCTCAGGTAGACAAAGGAACATCCCTTCCCTGCTATTATGTAAAAATGTGTAGAACAGGTGTCACATGCATGTTCACCTGTTCTACACATGTTTACATAATAGCATTAAAGGGATGTTCTACCACGTAGCAATAGGCCATTTTCGTAATGTAACCAAATTCAATGCACAGGTCTTTGTGAAGTGCCTCAACACAAACTATTTCATTCACCTGATAGGAATAATAGTATTTCAATAGACAGAATCCTAACTGCATTCATTATAGTTGTTGCCAGCTAGGTTGGACAAACATTATGGCTTAACTAGCAATACTTAATATATGCAGTTGCATTCTGACTATTGAAATACTATTATTCCTATCAGGTGAATTAAATAATTTGTATTGAGGCACTTCACAAAGACCTATGCATTAACTTTGGTTACATTACGAAAATGGCCTATTGTTGAGGGTAGAATGAGGAACTGTATATTTTGTCCTCTTTCTTTGTCTGTCATGTTCATATAGTGTTACTTCCTACATGCATGTATATCGTTGAGTGCAATCTAAAAGATTTCTAATTGTAGTCAACATGGGCAGTTGAGTACGTTGACACGCATGGTCAGTTGGCGTTCGTCGTGTTCTCGTCCACTCATTCTAAAAGTCCCTATTATCTCACCAAGTCGACTTCCCAAAAAGTATATGTCGTCATGGCGAGATAATTAGTGTGACGACTATTTCATGCAGCGCGCGTACGTGTAGTTCATTCACAGTCGACTAGTCTAGGTCTAGTGACTTCTTAAAACTGACTCCACGTGATCATTTATGTCGCCAAGACGACATCTACTGTTATTCGACTCGGTAACATATTTTATCTCGCCATGACAACATGTACATCTTTCGAAGTCGACTTGGCAAGATATTTTTATTTCGACATGACGACATTATACTTTTTGGGAAGTCGACTTGGTAAGATAATTTATGTCGCCATGACGACATGAACTTTTTGTGAAGTCGACATGGTAAGTTAAATATTTTTACATGTCGACATGATATGAATATTAAGTCAACTTGACAAGATGGAATATCTCGTCATGTCGTCAAGTAGAATGGCACTTAAAGATGGTGATGATGATGAACAGCATTTGTATGGCGCCATATATCTGTTTTAAAAAAACATTCTAAGGCGCGAGCTCCTCCAATAAAATTAGCATTTAAATGTCTGAAGGAAGATGTGAGTTCTTTTAGTGAAGCTTTGAAGTGGTCCAGGTTGTCAATTTCGCGGATAGATGATGGGAGGGAATCCCATAGGCGAGGTCTCCATATTCCTAAAGAAAAGGTTGAGTTCTGTGAAGAGGAACAAAATAATTTCTGAGCGTTATCATTGTCATTATGCAAGTTTGGAAGAACATCAGATAAAACATTCTCCCTGAAAAGCATGGCT